GGTCCTGGAGGCTCTAGCCAGGGCTATTGGATGAAAGAAAGCTTTCCAAATTGGAGACAAAGAAATAAAACTTTCTGTTCACAAATGACATGATTTTAAATAAAGGTAACTCTAAAGAGTCTACCCTTCTCTCCTTCCCTCCCGTCCCCTCTCCTCCCCTTCCCCCTCCCCCCCCCCAAAAAAAAGAGTCCACCAAAAAATGTTATAACTAATAAGAAATTCAATGTAGTGACAGGCTATAAAACCAACATAAAAAAGCAGCGTTTCCATACACTAATGGTGAATTGTCTTGAAAAGGAAATTGTGAAATAATCTCACACTAACAGTAAAGAGAGTAAAATACTTGAGTACAAATTTAAACAAGAAATTGAAAAATATGTGTATTAAAAACTGTAAAGCATTGATTAGAGAAATTGAAGACTACAAATAAATGGAAAAGTATTCCCAAGTTTACAAGTCAGAAAAATTAATATTGTTAAAATGTTCTTACTATCCAAACAGATCTATAGATTCAACACAATCCCTGTCAAATTCCAGTGCACTTTTCACAGAAGTAGGAAAAAAAATCCTAAGATTCATATGGAACTACAACAGACTCCCAAAGAGCCAAAATCATTTTGAGAAAAAACAAAGGACCCAAGCAGCTTCCCACAGCAGACAAGCAAACCTATCACAGGTCCTCGGAAAGGTGCCTGCCCACAGCAAGAAGCTCCCACCTCACACCCAGGGGAGGGTTGTTACCCAAACGACCAGAGGCAGGAGCCGACAGCATGTGAAGCACGGACTGGGGGTGCACTGTCGGCGAGTGTGTAAACCAGCACAGCCATTACCAGAAAACATTAAAAAAAATTTAAAATGGAGTCACAAACGGTCCACCAACTCCCCCACACACGAGGGGCGGGGGATGGAGTCAGGTGTCTGCATTCCAGCGTTTACTGCAATGTTATTCAAAGCAGCCCTGCAGTGGACAGATCTTAAGTGCTCCCCATGGGTGAACAGAAAGAAAATATGATATATGCATCAAGAGACTGTCAGCCATGGAAAGGAAGAGCATGACACAAGTGACAGCAGGCTGATGAGCTTGCTTGGGATACTCGTTTCACAATGCAGGCCAGTGAATTACTGCATTTTCACCTTCCATGTATACGATTCTGATTCTTTTTGTCAATTACACTTGAACAAATCTGGTAAAAACCTAAACTCGCTCTTCTTCTCCTTTGGTTATGGTTTTCATTTTTCTGTTTATATTTCTATAGCCTTTATTTTGGCTTTGAAGTTTCTAGCTCTGACTGTGTCTGCATTTAACATTTGCCTGCCAATAGTGGAGACCATCTCCCCACTAAATTCTGCTACCTTCATACAGGAAATGCCACAGCAGAACAACTTGTGGTCTCTGGTCTCCTCCTGTGACCTCCTTCCCCAACAGCATACAGCTGGCACCACCTGCTCCATCCCCACAAGCAGTCACTGGCTTGTAGTGTCCTTGGCCATCTCCCTGCTGCCTTGTCCCAGACAGACAGGCTTCTGGGTGACAGAGCCCTGCCTGGACAGGACGTGGAGCTCCAGCTGGGGGTCAGAGAAGATGGGGCTGCAATTCTGTCTCTGCCAGTTGCTGGATGTGCGATCTGGGGGAAAATCAATCAACACTCTGTGTCCTCATCTGTAAAATGAGAGCCAGGACATATAAAGCAACTGCACTGGGTTCTCAGTCAACTTAACCCACCCTTTTCTCCACTGAGTTTTGCTGTTTTAGATTGGGAAAAAAGATTTTTGTTTTTGGTTCTGAGGATCGAACTCACGACTTCATACTTGCCAGGTAGGCACTTGTGCCACGGAAATAAATCCCCTGCCAGTTTCTGCTGTTTTAAAAGTCACAGATAAAAGGGGATCCCTTGTACTTGAGTATCCAGTCCCCTACGTAATAACTCTTCAGGATGGCAAAGCACATTTTCATAGGTGATGAAACTGAGGCCCAAGGAAATTAAACAAATTGCCAAGAGGATCAGTGATACATCCAGGGCTGGAACCAGGACCATCATCCTGCTGTCCGGTGATGCAAGGAATAAGGTCCTGGTGCTGCTGCTTAGCATTCAGTGCTGTCTTCCTTCTCCTGCATTCATTGGAGAAAAAAATCTCAGATGCATTCAATGCCATGCAACTCCAGGTTCAAGGCTGGTTTTCTCAAGGTGCGGCTTCCTCCCCATTCCTGTCCTTCCTCAAAGCCTTGGATGGAGGCTTCTCTCCTAGTTCACACCTGAGTCCTTCCCCTCCTCCACAAGCCACTGTTAGCCTCTGGTACCAAGCTGCCTTAGTGAGCACTTGCTGTTTGCATCATGGGAAGCACCATGCCTTATGCACAGCAGGTGTGGGGAGGTGGCAGGAGTTAGAATGGCAGGGGTCGGGGTTCAGGGTAACCTCAGTGCACCCTCTTAGCTTGGCAGGTCTGCTTTGAGGACCAACCTGAGCCACCAATCCGATGCCACTTAGAAAGGCCCTTCTTCTGCCTCTAGTTTCCAGGGGCCACCCCCATGCTAGGGGCTGTGCAGATGTCTGCAGATCTCCATCAGCCCTGCTGTCTGATCGCCAAGGATGTCCCGTTCCACTATCAAGGGACAGACACAGCTGTCAGCTAGAAAGTGGAGAGGGCCTGCCCTCTACATATCACCAGAGGAGTTTACCTGGGCTGCCCAGCATGGGGATTCCTGAGATGCCTGTGCCCCTGTCCCTCTGGTGGCTGCCTCCTCCCTACACCTCAGCAGGAAAGGACTGCCAGGCCCAAGGACCTGACATTTGCATTTTCTGTCCTAGGACACTGTCTTCAAGACACCAACCTGAGCTGAGCTGTGGAGCGGTGGGGAGGTCGTCTGATTCTGTCTCCCAGCCCAAGGAGGGCCACAGAGACCCTGGACAAGAGCAGGGAGCAGGGCAGGCGGCTGTGGCTCCAGATCTGTGGGTGGTGGAGCCCACACCCCTAGACCAGGACCTGGGTGAGTATCAGGGCATTGCCCAGGGATCCTCGTGTACCCTGGGCCTGAAGAAAGGCAGAGTCTTCCCTTCCCAAGCAGCTGGGGCCTCAGTCACCTCACAGGGTGGCGCAGTTGGCTGGAGAGTGCAGAGTCTGCGGCAAAGGTGCCGGCCCAGGCCAGGGACACTTATTTAGAAAGTGACCTAAGGCTAGGGTGGTGGAACCAACCGGGAGGGTGGGGCAGGCACTACCCTCTGTTCCTCTGCCGGCCAACCATCCAGTCAGGGCTGGAACCAGGCTGCGACAAAGCCCGGAAGATGCCACCCACCTGTTGGGGTGGTGTCAAGCCCCCGGCCAGATGTTGAAACAAACTGATTCCTACAGTTTTGCCGGCATAAAACTGTAGGCGCCTGGCCCCTATATTCAAACTGAAACGGACTCGGACTCGAGGCGCTTAAAATATTGCAACGTCGATAGGACTAATTAATTGGAAATAAGAAACGAAAGAATACAATTAAACGAGAAGAGAATCATTTTCTAATTTAATAGAGGGACATTTATAAAGATCACAAGCTAAAAGGCATCGAATGATTCTATCGACATTGTATTAAATCAGCGCCAGCCGTGGGCAGGAGGACCCCGAGAGGATCCCAGCGTCCTAGTCCCGCTGGCCCGCCGCCTCCTGCTGCAGCCTCCCTGGCCCTGTCCTGCCAGATAGGACGGGGTCTGCACAGTCCAGTCCCCAGTCCGCAGATTGGGAGCGTCTTGCTTCTTGAGTCCCAGGGCACAGATATATTACAACCAAATTACTAATTGCAAAATGAAATTGTCAATAAAGCTTCCCCCTTGCGTATACAATATCCTTAAATATTAAGATATTTTATTAGACCCATTTCCTAACAATAATTTATTGCAATAAAACAGACACTGCAGGTCCCCTGAAATTGTCTTTTCATAATGAATAAATTCAAGTGTGCTAATTAATATATAAACTAGCCCGATTTGTCAAGTTGATTTGTATTTTAGTTAATTGTGAAAGTAATTACCACATGGTCAAATTAACAGCTTTCTGGAAATGACCAAGCCTGAGGTTTTATTTCCTTCCTGGGTGAAGAAAATTCATTTTTCCAAGCTCTTGATGTGATGAATAAAAGTCATAAATCTGGGTGATTGGTGCAGGCAGAGTCTAAATGGCTTCATATTTCATTTTAGGTTTAATAGAAATATTCATGCTCTGTTTTAATGAAATTAAATTGAAGGGGGATGGGGCTCTGAGGCAGCGGGTGGGTGGCCAGGCCCTTAAAGGGACCGTGCAGATTTTCCTCCCGCCCAGGCCCAGGTGCCTAGGTCACCATCTGTGACTGACCTGCTCCCTCCCTCAGCTGAGACCAGGTACATGAGGGTGCTTCCGGGCCTCTCACCTGGAGTGCAGATGGAGACCCACATGGAACCCAGGTCAGATAGACTGTCTTGGCTCCTCACACCTGTGTCATGCCCTTGAGGGGTACCCCCAGCAGTCAGGATGGTCCTGGGTGGTCCTGGGTAGGGGTATAGGGATGGCCTGTGTTCTGTGGGTGCTCCAGTCTCACTGCCATGGCCCCTCAGCCTCAGGGCCCTGGAACCTCTTGAGGACCGAGGAGGGCTGTGAGACCTCGATGTTGCCCCTCAGACCCTTGAACCCTCCCCTGCTCTCTTTCTTCCCAAGGACTGCAAAGTCCCCAGGCCCAGCATCCCCCTCCCCAGAACAATGCAACCAGGTGACCCCAGCCAGATCAGGCACAGAGGCCATGGGGGGTGGGGGAGTCTGAGACAGGAAAGCGCCCTAGACTCAGCCATGCTGCATCCTCACTGTGTCAAGTACCTGAGTTTAGGGGCCCCCGATGTTGTGCCGCTGGGGCCAGCATGGACCTGGCCAGCCAGGCCCCTTAATGGAGCTGATCTGTGACTTGTTGATTTCCCCTGAGCAAATCAGGGTTTGATGCAGTTCAGCAGGAGTGGTGAGCTGATGAATTGACAAAAACTAATCAGCTTTATTGGGAAACAGGTTAAGGGCACAGGCGAGCCGGTCACCCCCAGCCTGACCCCCGCGTCCATTAGCCAAGCAGCTGATTGGAGTAGGGAGGCCTCTCGCTGTGTGCTCTGAAATTGCTTTCATAAACTAACCATTATTAGCAGTCAATGTGGGCAGCTAATTTAGAGAAGACATCCCAGCACATCACGTCTGTCATCCAGGTTTATGTATCATTATCTCATTTACAGAATGTCGCAGTGTAATATGTGTTTTTGGCAATAGGCTTGGACCCATGTGGGGCTCTTTTTAGTGACACAGCAGGGACCCCCTCGAGTAGCCACCTGGTACTCTTCTCTTCACTTCTGTGGGGCCTGGGATCACACGGATCAGAGATCTGGAGCCCCTTGCACACACACACTTACATACATGTATCAAACTCTTGTGGGCACACACAAATGTACATACACCCACCCACACATGATATGGGCTCCCAGCAATCTGCACCCCCTGTCTTGACCCAAGGGAAAGGTGCCCTCCAACCTGGGAGCTAGGAGTGAGTTCTGATTCCTGCTGGCACCCACTTTCCCCAAGTGTGGCCTTGAGGTGCATAAACTGCTCTCACCACCCCCTCCGAAGTCTGAGGAGCCCCGGCTGCCCCATCATGCACCCACCGGGGATGGCCCATTCCATCCCAGCAGCACTGGCAGCCTGACCTTCCAGCCCTCCGGCAGGTTGTGCGCTCCTCCTGCTGGGGCTCCAGCACAAATGCGCCCAGAGAAGGCCACCTGTTCGGTGGGTAATTATTTTAATGTGAGGGGCTCAGAGTCACAGACGGTGGCTTGACTACAAGGGCCCCCAGCCTTTCAAAGGAATTTCCCAGATGGGCAGGGGAGGAGACTAGGGCGGGTCACCAGGGGCCCTTTAACGAGTTCATTAGCCAAATGATCTCCCACAGCCCAGGGCAGGAAAAGTGCAAGAGGGGAGGAGAGCTGGGCGGTCCTTCCCCTTGAGCTGGGTCTCTGCGGGAGCTGGGAAAGAAAAGGCTCCCCTTGTGCAAGCGGGGTGCGGCTGGCAGCAATGTCCCACCAGTATGAGCCTCAGTCTCAGCCACTCTGGAGAAAGTGGTTAGTATCTCAAAAGGAGGCGAGAGTAATGTGGCATCTCAGGCTTCATCCAGGAGGCAGCTCCTGGCCAGGGCTCCAGGACTAAAGTGGAGCCTGTGGGTTCTCAGCTGCTGGGGCTTCTCTAAATGGGGCTTCTCTAAGTGCGCTGCCGCTTTGTCACAGGTAGGTGTGTGAGGGGAACCAGAGGAAATCTCCAGAGAAGGACTGTCAAACACCGGAGTGCGGTACATCCCAGCTGGCTCAGGAGGGGTTAGAGTCCTTCTTAAACGTGTCCACCTCCAGCACTGGCTGTGACCCTGGCTTCCTAGGCCACCCACTCTCAGGTAACTCCTGCCCACCGGTTCCAGGGGTAGTGGGCAGAGGGCCCTTGATGAGACCAGCTCCCTTCTGCCCGGCACTGCACAGCACAGCACAGCACAGCACAGCACAATCCCAAGTGGAACAGAGGTGGTACGGGGAGCAAGGGCAGAGCAGCTGCATAGGAAAGAAAAGGTGCCCACTCCTGTGGGCAGGAGTCCCCTCCTGGGGTCCCAAGGCTTTGGCCACAGACACCTTGTGCCCAGTGGGCACAAGGGGCACAAGTGGGCGCTGTGGCCCTCCAGGGTCTCTCTCCCACTGGTTCTCCTCCCTCCCTTCCTCTCTGCCGCCAGCAGCCTCGGCTTCTGCCATCTCAGCAACTCCTAAATAGACCAATTACCCGGGACTTCCTGCCATTATCTAACAAGGATTTGGACATTAATGCTTACTATTCTGCCGTAATTTCAAGTCAGAATGCACTAAAAAATTCACTCACTGAAGCATTAAAATGTTCCTGGACAACATCTGCCTTTGTGTATTTGTGCTTCTTCCCTGTATATTTCACCCCTTCTGCCTTTGGGTCCTACTCAGTCCAGGAGTGTGGTAGCCCGTGGTGCCCTGTTTGTCAGTGTATGTTTGACCTGGGTGGCAGAGGGGTCCTGCAGTGTGACCACCTCCTCCTCCTGCCTGGGCGGGTTAGGCAGATGGGTGGGTTAGAGGCGAGCACATTATGCTACTGGACAATTCCAAAGAGCCTTTGCAAACCAAGTCTTCAATTACTCAACACATCTTCTTATGCAGGAGCTGCAGGAGCTGAGAGCTGGGTACCACTGTTTTGGCCTTCAAACGCAAGCACCTGCTTGCAGGGCTCACCAGCAAGTGGCCAGGTGCTGGTGCTCTTTGGAGGGACAGCAAGCATGATGCCACATGATGCTCACCATGTGAACACCTGCTGTCCACTCTGTCCTGAGCCTTATGACCCTATGATGAAATGAATTAAAACCTTGCAACAAAACCACAGCTTCCAAGCAGTCTTTCTTTTCTGCTGACAGTATGGTTCTCCAATAGTGCTCAGGTGACCCCCACCCCCATTTTTTCTGTTCCAGGCCCAAAACTTCGAATCTGTGCCACAGAAGCCAAGAACACTTGGGTCAAGAGGAGCAGGCAGGGGAGCTGGAAGCTGCCCATGCTCAGGGTGGCCTTAAGCAGATAGCTAGATGCTTGCAGAAATTTCCCAGAGGCGGAGACCCAGGAGCTACTGGGCTGGACACATTTGTCTGCAGCAAATGTGTCTCCCTAAACTTTCCCAGGCCCAATGGTCTAGCTGCTTGCAGTGACAACATAGGGCCCAACATAGGTGTCCCCAGAAAGGTAAGGTCAGGGATGAGGGCTACAGGAAAGCCACCTGTGCAGAGAGAAGCATGGGAAAGGCCAGAGCTGTGGCAGACACCCTTGAGTGGGGGTGGGGGATTGCAGGTCCTGAGTCTGCTCCCAGACCCCTTTAAAGGCTGCCTCTAGAGGTCCAGGGGGAGATCACAGATCAAAGCATGGCACTAAGAACTTGGTGCCTTTGGTCCCTGGCTCTGCAGAGCTGAGGTGAGTGGTGAGAACTGATAGATCTTCTGCCACAGCTCACCCTCCAGTGACCCCAGCTGTGGCTGCTCCCCCATGCACTTCAGCACAGCTAAGGAGGCTGGAGGGAGTCTATCATGGGGTGGGTCTAGCACTCACCTCCTCTTCCTGCTCCACTGCTTTTCCAACAAGTCCCACTGCCACTCAGTCCTGTGTCCCAGCCTCTAGTCTGGTCAGTCACACAAAACCCCAGCCAGTCTTCCTGGAGGGAGGAAGCCTCTCAAGTGCTGACACTGGAAAGTGAGTTATATCCAGGGAGATACACAGGACAAACCCTCTTCTCAGGAGGCCCTGGATTTCAGGTCTTCAGCAAGGGGAAGGTGGCAGGTGCGCAGAGGGACCAAGGAGAGCCACCCTCTTCCCTGGGTTCAGCCTTGCAGAGGCTCTCCTGGTGCCTTACATGTTTCACTGCAGGGAAGAGTGGCAAGGGACCTCCTACCTCCCAACTCTACTATGCGAATATCTAGGCTTTTGTTCCAAATCCTTGAGGTTGTCTCAACTTCATGCCTAAATCCAGAAGTGAACAGCCATGGATTTACTGCCGATTTGATTTTTCTTTTGCAACTATTTGTATAAACCATGAAGCTCTCACCCAAGGAGCAGCAGGAGGCACGGCTACAGGCCAGTTATTTGGTGACCTGACCCCCCACCGCCTACCTAAGAAAGAAACTTTGAGTTAGGTGAGAGGGTGGCAAGGGACACTAGGTCTTCTGTCTCCATGGGGAGCCAACTCACCAAGGGAGCCCCATCCCAGCAAGGCTGGGTGCAGCAGGTAGGGCTGGCTGGAAGAGACCTAGAATGCCAGCTTCACACCTGTAAACCACATAAAAGATCAGAAACTTCCAGAGGTCCCTCTCCAGCTGCCTCCCAGCACAATCCAGAAAGCCCTCCACTTAGAATTCTGAGCCTCAAACACAGGCACTTCAGGACCTTGTCTGATCCAGTCTGTCTGGCTTCTACTTTTCCAAGGAGAGGCCTGAACTCTGACATCAGGGGTCACAAGCAGGCCCTGACCCTGCAGCAGAGGCCCCACAGTATGGCTCAGGTCAAAGCTGGGGTTCCCACGGAGCTCTTTCTCCCAGTGGCACTCCCCAAGGACCTGGCAGTAGGTGCAGGGCTGAGCCATTTGGGAGCACAGTTCTGCAGAAGAGCCCTGTGGAGTCTGAACGCCCCCCCCACACACACACACCAGGAGCCCTGGTTTTAGGTCTGACAGGTGGGAGAGCAAGTTCCGGGTCCATCTCAGGAACATCTCGGGAGCAGTCTTTGCATCTACTCCCTTTTTCCCTCTTGGGCACCTGTCCCCAGGGTGAGGTGAAGAGGGTGCATCCTGAAGGAGGTGGGGCCTGGGCTGCCCCCTGCCCAGGGGGAGTGGTAACAGTCTCTGGCTTCCTGTCCAGAAGGGCAACCCAGAATTTCAGCCTCCTCTGCCAGGGGGGTGGATAAGGCTGGCAGTTAGATTTGTCCTAACCCATCTGAGACTTTCCTGTCCTTGAGGCCAAATCTCAGTCTACGAGCCTGGCGAGCCTGGTGTGGTGGCTCACGCCTGTAATCCCCAGCACTCGGAAGGCTGAGGCAGGAAGATCGTTGTGAGTTCCATTGTGAGTTCGAGACCAGCCTGGGCTACAAAGTGAGCTCAAGGCCAGTGTGAACTGCAAAGGGAGACCCTGTCTCAAAAAAGACAAATAAATAAATAAATAAACAAGTCTACGGAAGCCTGAATCCTAGAAGACAAAGATGACAAAAAATTCTTTTTGTGTCACAGTGGCAATCAAGGATGATGATTGTAGGTGTGTACACCTGTGATCTCAAGACTTAGGAGGCTGAGGCAGGGGAATCCTTGATACTTCGAGACCAACTTGGACTACACAGTATCAAATGACAGTAAACAAGAAACAAAAAAGAAAAGAAAGCATATGGCACAGAGGAAGGGTTGAGGACATACAGTGTCCCCACCCTTCAGAGGCAGACTAAAAAGAAACGCCCTTCTTGACAGCAAAGCCCGGGAACCGCCTCTCACCCTGCACCCGGCTCTCAGGCCTGTGGCGCTAAGGTTTCCCCTACAAGGTCTTCCCTTGTCCCGCCGACAGCCCATCCTTCTGGCCCCCTCACCTGCACAGGAAGCCCGCTTCCCACCGCTTCCCACTTGGGACGATCACTCTAATAGAGTTGTTGACACAGCGTGGTGCTGCTGGTGGCTGCTCTCCTTTCCGACCTGCCTGTGGTTTCTTTCGGCTTCGAGCAACCCTTGGAAGTGATCATACTGTAAATATTTGATGGGAGTGAAGGGGTCTGGATTCTCTTCCACTGCCGTGCCCAGCCCTTGGAAGCCCTTTCCTCCTAATTCCCCAGGCTGCTGGTCGCCAAGGAGCCTTCCTCTACCGCCCCCCGTTGAAGTTGGTGGGCCGCCTCCTACTGCTCACTGGCCACCTCCACAGGGAGGTCCCCAGGACCAGCTTGGTGGCACAGGGGCCAAGTCTCCGAGCTGGATCGAGTACTACGTCTCCGAGTGCACAGCCTCTGAGCTCCTTCTCTTGATCGGAGGCCAGGAGAGAAGTTCCCCGAGATAATCCGTGGACGCCAAGGTCCCACGCACATTCACACACGCACACACACACGCACGAGGCACACAGGGTTTTTCAGACAGGTACGCAGGCTTAATTTTTAAAGGCTGGCGACAAAGAGAGTGCCCGGGTGAGCCCTGGAGATCTAGGAGCTCGAGGCCTGGACTGCCCGGCTCACTGAAATACTCGTGGACAAACTCGGAGGCCCCTGCCCTGAGGGTGGTAGACAGAGCCCTCCTGCATGTCGGGAGCTGGACTCCAGTGTGCAGGCGCCGGCTGAGTCTCTCCACCCGGGCCCCTGACCCTAAGTTGCGGGCTCGCAGCGCGCGCCGGCGTTTAGGACCTGGCGGCGTAGGGGTGGGGCAGCGGGCGCGACGGTGACAGGTGCGGCGCTCGGCCAATCGCTGGCCCCGCGCCCCTCCCGCGCCCCCGCCGCGCGCGCCAATCCGCGGCCTTGCTTCGCTTCAAGTGCGCAGAGGGGCGCGGGTCTGAGCGCAGCGGCTTCGGTGCTGGAGGCTGCTGCAGCACAGCCTGCACCGGCCAGACGCCCGGCGGCCGCGTGGGAGGCGCTGCGGGCGCGAGTGGGCGCGGGAGGCACGGTCCACGCGGGGCCGAAACGGGGAGGCGCGGGCCATGGTGGCGCTCGGCTGAATCCGGCGGGGACTTCGATTCCCGGGAATTCGGCGCGGTCGCACTTTGAGCAAGGCACCGACGCCTCGCATCGCCCAAGCGCGCCCATGGAAAAATCCAAGAATTTCCGCATCGACGCGCTATTGGCCGTGGACCCCCCTCGCGCCGCCTCAGCGCAGAGCGCGCCGCTGGCCCTGGTGGCCTCGCTGGCCTCCGCGGGCTCGGGCCCGGGCAGCGGGACGAGCAGCGAGCGCAGCCCGGGCCCCTCCGAGCCGCCGGCCGCTCGCGCGCGGGCCGAGAGCCCCGAGCCGCCGCGCCTACCAGCTGCACACTGCGCGCTGCTGCCCAAGCCCGGCTTCTTGAGCGCGGGCGGTGGGACTGGGGCCGGACCCGGGGGTCCCTCTCCCCACGCGCACCCCGCTGCCGTGGCCGCCGCCGCTGCCGCCGCCGCGGGGGGCCTTGCGCTGGGGCTACACCCGGGAGGCGCGCAGGGTGGCGCGGGGCTCCCAGCGGCGCAGGCGGCGCTCTACGGCCATCCGGTCTACGGCTACTCGGCGGCGGCGGCGGCGGCGGCCCTGGCTGGCCAGCACCCCGCGCTGTCCTACTCGTACCCGCAGGTGCAGGGCGCGCACCCCGCTCACCCCGCCGACCCCATCAAGCTGGGTGCCAGCGGCTTCCCGCTGGACCAGTGGCTGCGCGCGTCTACCGCGGGCATGATCCTGCCCAAGATGCCGGACTTCAACTGTGAGTACCGAGCCGCCAGTCCCCAGGCCGCGCCTCCCTTGAGCCCTCGGCCCTCGCCTGGGCGAGCTGGGGGAAGTGTAGTGCAGCCGCCGTCTCACGTTCTGCGTGGGTGGGTGCGAACGATCAAAATGGCCACGCGCAGGCTGGGCCTTCTCTTCCTCTCTTAGCGGGAAGGGGTAGCAGGAGGTGTGAGACTGAAATGTAATGATTAACCTGCAGGCTGCAGAAGGAAGTGGCCAGGAACGGAGGCGTGGAGCACCCTAGGAATGAGGGTCACGGACCGCCCCCATACACACAGGCGTTCATCTCAGGGAAAAGGAGTCGGCCTGGTCTGGGCTTCCGATCCTTCCCAGAAAAGGGAGACTGCGGGCCAGCAAAGGAGAGAAATGGGCTGAGAGAGGTTCACTGCCGCCAGGCCGGGCCAGCAGTCCCTGGCCCTTGCCAGAACCCGCCTTCCTGCGGAAGGTCATGGGGTCCCCTGCGATGCCCAGCAAGGCCTGGCTCTCAGGCCGAGCAGCAGGTGCCTGCATAGAAGCCAAGCAGAGTGAGGTACTCTGGAGGATGGGGGCCAGGAAGGCAGAGCCCGAAGCCAGAGTGGCTGAGCTGCGGGGAAACCTCTTAGAGGCCTGGGTTTGGCTGTCTAGCTCATCCTCCCGCCTGCCTGCGCTCTATGCGGGTCGGCTGCCCTCTGGTCACTGGGGAGCGGAAGATGTGTAAGGCTTTATGCCTCCAGCCGCCCAACATCCAAACAAAGAGACCCCATTGTTTCCGTCTGAGTGGATTTGTTTAGACTGAGGAGATGCAAGTCTAGGAAGGAAAAAAGGCAAAAGAGAAAACAGAAATAAACACTTGCCAGAATTCAGATTCCTCTGCTAGAAGCCGAGGTTGTGACTAAACAGAGAAAAGCTAAGACCCTAGAGGGCTGGAGAAATCGCAAAGGGGTGAGAGAATCCCCACGGACCAATGTTTGCCCACCAGCACCCTCAGCTTTTCTCAGGATAGCTCAAAGGAGACCCTACTGGTCTGTGGCCCTTCCCCACTCACTGTCTGAAAAGAACAACGGAGGCTCCCCCAGCTGGGACATCTCCCTAGCTTTCAGATCGGTGCCCCAAAGCCAGGGCACCCTGCAGAGTGCTCCTAGGAAAGGAAGCCACCCAGTGATCTGTGTTCCCTGGACCTGGGATCCTTAGGTACCCATGCAGGGGCCCCACGAAGCAGGACGGATTCCCAGCCCACCCAGGTCCTTCTCAGGGCCACGGTAGAACCCGAAGTGGACGAGGGATCCCTTGGCCACACACTTTATCCACCTACAATTGCTGATCTTGCTGAATGAAACTGCAGTGAGCTCTCAGTTTGGGAAAGGACTCTGAGGCCCGTCACCCTGAAGAGCTGTCAGCAATGCAGGCCCCGTTCGGGAATGTGCATTCCCAGGCTCCTCTCTCCCCGAGGACCCGCTTGGTTTCCTTTAATTGGTTGTCTCTGCCTGTTGGATGGCATTTCCCAAATGGCCCCTCCGGAGCCAGTGTTTTAATTAAAGTTCTAATGTATTGTCAAGTTGGGAATTCAGGGCCTTGTTTGACTAAAGCAGGGGGCGTGTGCTATCCCATAAAGCAGATTGCCCCTCCCCAGGGAACCCGAGCTCATCCCGGCTGGGCTGGCCTCCTTTCTTTTCTCTGCTTTTTTCTTTTATTGTCTTAACACTTGTCAGACTCCTGGGAAATCAAGGGAAGTCTCCTTTTGAGGTCATAAAATTCTCTGTGATGTAACCGTGCGAAATTATGTAAATAAAGCCACCAAGGCCTCCGGGAACACACAGAAAGCCGGATCCGCCCACGCCTCGGCCTGTAATTTGTGTAATGAAGTTCGTCCAGAGCAGGCTTCCCATCTCCTCAGCCATGGCACCCCAGCAAGGGAGCTTGTCAAGAAGTCCAGCTGAAATGTGGGAGATTCCCAATGAGCATATTCAGTCCTTCTCCTTCCTCTTTTCTCCGTTCCCCTCGCCCTTTCTAATTTAAGGAGGGGCACTGGGAACCACATCCAGAGGAGCCCTGCTCTCCCCCAGCTTGTAAGCCTAAATTGGGAGGTGAGGGCCGAGGTTTAGTATCCCCAGCGAGCACTTGTCTGGCTTCTGCAACCCGGTACTTCCCCAAGCTGACCCAGTGCAAAGCCAGAGAGTGCGCCAGGCAGAGAAAGCAAAGTCTCACTGCGCTTGGCTGCCCCTGCTCCCATAGCCCTGGGTCTGGAGCGCTGTTCCCTGTGTGGGGTGGGATGGGGGCACCCTGAGCTCCCCCACGGGGCTTCACGGCTCTCACCCCACCCACAGCCCAGGCACAGTCGAGCCTCTTGGGGAAGTGTCGCCGGCCGCGCACAGCATTCACCAGCCAGCAGCTGCTGGAGCTCGAGCACCAGTTCAAGCTCAACAAGTACCTGTCGAGGCCCAAGCGCTTCGAGGTGGCCACCTCACTCATGCTCACGGAGACCCAGGTGTGCCGCCACCCCACGCCCCATGCAGGTTGGCCTCCAAGGATATGTGGTCACCACTACCTTCTTGGGGACCGGAGATGAGCCTCTGGACTCTGGGATGCAGATGGAGACTCCAGGCGAGGTTCACAGCCTGCGCAGGGAATCTTTAGGAGCACCCAGAGGGCTGGCTCAGTAGCTAGGCTGGGACGGGCAATGTCCCTCTCTAAGGAAGGCTCCACCAGCCTCGTGCACTTCGTGCACTTCGCTCCTGAGAGGAGGAGGGGACGCTCTGGCTTTTCTGTAGGTGGAGGGTGTGGGTAGAAAGCTGAGCCCATCTCTGTGGACCCTGCTCTGGGGATGTGGTCTAGCCCAGAGGTGGGCAGCTGCATTTGGGGGGCGGGAAGCAGGGAGGTCCCGTCCAGGTTGCCGCTTTGCACCCCTCCAGGGCAAAGGCACCTCTGGGGCCATGTGTGAGTCCCTCACGCTGCTGCTTGTACCTGCAGGTTAAGATCTGGTTCCAGAACCGGAGGATGAAATGGAAGCGCAGCAAGAAGGCTAAGGAGCAGGCAGCACAGGAGGCCGAGAAGCAGAAGGGCGGCCCGGGTGTGGGAAAGGAGGACAAGGGTGAGGAGGAGCTGCTGGGGCCGCCTGCACCTGGGGACAAGAATGGCAGCCGCCGCATGCGGGACTTGAGGGACAGTGACCCTGAGGAGGAGGACGACGACGATGATGATGAGGACCCATTCACCTACAGCAATGGCGCGGGCGCCCTGGCCGCCTCATCTGACTGTTCCTCTGAGGATGAGTGTGCCCCGCCGCAGTAGGGTCTCCTCCGCTGGCCACTGGGCCACCTGAGGGACAGAAGGATGGCCTGGACCGGCACTTTCTAACTCAGTTTCAGGTGGTGCTGGCAGGAGGCTTAGAGAAGCAACGAGCTGCTCTGACCCGGGCCCCTCCTTCTGCACTGGCAGCGACTCCACAGTGTTAAAGTGACCTCTGAAACTTGAAACCTCTCTGGAAATGCCATTCTCGGTACAAAGAAAAAGGGTTTTATGCTTCTGTATCTTAGGGGGAAAACGTATGTCATGAGCATTCAAACTGCTGGAAATCTCAAAACTGTACTGTCTTTATTTTTGTATATTGTATTTATATATAAAGAAAGAAACGTCTACTTATGCATGCTAAATTATTATTTAGCTTCTCCCATCTCCTAGGGTGGAATGTAAAATAAATTGGTTTTTTAATGGATGCAAGTGCAAATTTTCTGTAGGTGCTTGAGGCGGGTTTTTGATTTTCGATTGATGAAAGGACTCTCAGAAGGTCTTCCCCAGTGCCCAGACTTAAAGGAAGTCACTGAACTCAGCGCCACTGAATTCCTCTCCTTCTGGGCCCCTGTTGAAACCTGCTTTTCGAAGTTGAGGGTCCGCAGTGTCAGATGTTAGTAAAAAAAAAAAAAAAAAAAAACCTGGAGTGTGGGAGATATTTAGCTCAGCAGCACAAGCACCTCCTGGCCATCCCCAGGGCCAAGTTGTGAGTTCAATCCCCAGCACCAAAAAACAAACAAAAGTACCTGGGGTCAGTGTCCGAATGCTAGTGCCCAGCTCATACCTGTCCCTCAACAGGAAGCTTGGCCCTCCGTGGCATAACTTTGGACTCAGTGGCTTTATTTTACGCTTTCCTTGTTGGGTGTTGCTTCTTCGACATTCCAGAGTGGAAATAACAATATTTGAACGTTTCTGGAAGTAAGCTCCAAACGGAAGCATTTGTGCTCCCAGTGACCTGAGGCACTGCTCACACAACAGTTCCTGTAAGTGCATGGAATTGCATGGGGCTTCTTCATCTTCTCCAGGCAGAGCCTTCCGAATGCCAGCCAGGCATGCTTGTCTTGGATCTTTGCAAGTGTCTGAGAGGATGGTGGTGCTAGTGCTGAGACGCTCCATGGGACAGGACAGTAGGGGTTAATCACCAGCTGGCCAAACTACGTGCCAGGTGTGGGGTACATGCTGGCCCTTAGGGTGGGTCCTCCTCACCTGGGGCTGTTCCTGCCCCCTATTGCTGGCCCAGTGGCCAGTCCTGGGCCTGGCTGGCTGGAGACACAGTGTCTGTGGGACCATAGCTCTTCTGCCCAAAGTCTCTGCCCTTCCTCTGGCTGTCACTTTCCAGTAGCACCCTGGAGCTCCCCACCTGTTCCTCCTTGCCACCAAGGAATAAGTTCAGAAGGGCCCAAGCATCTCATTTGGGTGATTGCTGGGGCAAACAGGGCACCCTTCACCTTTGACAGGGGAGATTAATATCCTCATTGGCACTTCACTATCTTCCGGACTCCCTGCTTAAAACCCAACTCAGCGAGGTGCTGACAGCTAGGCAGACTGACTGCTGGGCAGGCAGGGCTCTGGCTCACAACAGGACTGAGTTTGCAACCACTGGAGAAGGGAAAGTGCCCAGGAGAGAGTGGGAAAATCAGAGAGGGAAAGAGAAGAGAAGGAAGACAGAGCTTTGGGGACTTAAAAAAAGCTGGCATCAGAGTACATATCTTTTTAATTTCTAACCTATTGGTAAGGTTCAGCCTGCAGCAATATCTTCCTGGCTGGGCCCACATCTGTGGTTATTTCTTCAAAGCTTGGCTGGCCTGGCCTCACCACCCTCTGCAACACCTGGGCAGCAGGGAAGGGGGCCAGTGTGGAGAAGGGGTGTTGTGGCACCCTGCCAGCTTTGAATGCCAAAGCTCCAGTGAGGTTTGCCCTCCAGCTCAGGGACAGATGCCCCCCAACACCCGGACAGAAAATGAAGAGCACTAAAGACTCAGCCCTGAGCCTCCAGCCCTCTGGTCCTGCTAGCAAGGCCTGGGTCTGGCACAGGGACGGTTGCTGGCCCCAGCATCTCCAGCCAGATGCTTAATCACAGTGGAATTTATCTCACTAATAAATTTAATGATCAATTCGTTCTTGTCACAATAGCTCTTCCCCAAATCAATTATAGCAAATTTAAATATAATCACTGGTTCATCCTCACCCACTCCAGGGCACCTCAAACAATTCATTCTGCGTAATGGACGGTCACCAGTTTGTCTCTGTTCAGACTGGGTGGGCCTCAGGGTACGGCTCTGTGCTGCAGGAGTCTTTACAGTCCCAAAGACTGGATGCTCAGGACCCAGAACCACTCCGGTCTACACAGCAGGAGGAGGCAGGAAGATTCTGGACCTGGTTCCTTGGCAGCCCCTTCACCCTAAACCCCAGCAGGTGTGTGCCCTGCCCTGGCTCTGTGACAATAGGACTATGGCAACAGTAGGACTGGGTCCTGACTGAGGTCCCCACCCTAGGATGATCACCTCTGGGACCCCAGCCCCAGCCCAGCTCTGCTCCTCCCAAGGCATGACTCTAGGATGGAGGAGGGGTTCTCAGAAGGAGGCCGATCAATGCCTTCCTGTAACTGGAGGAAATGGCAAGGCCTTTCCAGCCCCAGTGCAGGTGAGAGGCTCCACACAGACAGGTGAGTTCAAGGTCAGGAAGTGCAGAACAAAAGACTGGAAGGAAAAGGGAAATGGGTCTGATTCCTTGCGCTAACCTCTCTCTTCCTGGGTGTCAGGTCAGACTATGCTTGGAAAGAGCAGCTCTAAGATTCATGGACTTCAAAATCCCAGATAACAAAATCAAAAACAGACAAATGGGCTACATCAGATGCCAAAGCACCCCATCCCAGAAGTTTCCTGGGAAAGGAAAAGTGTTTGACCACCATCTTCATCTGGTGATAGGTTAACACCCAGAGCACATAGAAAGCAACGACCAGAACCACAGGATGTAAAATGTGCACAGAGGACCCGAGCAGACAATCCTCCCCGGGAAGACAGACAGATGGCCAACAGGAACAGGGACAGACAGCGCGCGTTAATCATCCCAGCTAATCATCCCACAAGTGCTGGCACGGCTATGGTGAAACCAGAACCGGCCCATGTCCCTGGGTGGGAACCAGACGGAGTTTCCACAAGTAAGCCAGGAAGGGCAGGGTCTCACAGTGTGGGAAGCAGGACTCCCAGGTTCTGCTGTGAACCCGAGAGGATTCTGAGCAGGGCCTCAAAGCGGAGCCCGCGTGTCCAGCTCCTGGGTGCATCCAAGCGAGAAACAGCGGTGTGCATGTGCATGCCCATCAGAGACCAGGAGCAAGCAGAGTGCGTCCTCTGGGTATTACTTGGCCTCCGCAGAATGTAACTGTGCCATTCGCAACGGCAGGGAAGGACCTTAGGACCTCGTGCTAAGACAGACCAGCCACAGAAGGACGGAGCCCGCAGGACGCCCCTTCCGGGAGGTACTGCTGGGCACCAGAGTTAAGCCCCGTATAACGCGAATGGAGGTGCTTGGGGCTGGCAGAAGCCGACTGGGAGCTCCTGGTTAACGGACTAGGGTCTGAGAAGGCGAAGCGTGGCATCTGGCCGCTGGCGGCAGCGTGCAGAAGCAGCCGCGCTCCCCGACGCTTGCACGCCGAGGCTGCCTTCCGCAGATCGTTTTTCTTTACCTTTCTTCTTTTCCTCCTCTCCTCTCCCCATTCCTCCCTCCTGCACGACTGCGCTACACCCCCAGTCCCTGCAGGCTTGCCCTTTCTCCTTCTCTGCTCTCTCTTTCCTGGTGCCCTCCCAGTCCTGGAAGCCGAGGACCGATGTCTAGGAGGGGCGCAGTCCTGCCGAAGACACCATGCGCTCCTCCAGAGGTCCCCCGGTTATCCCGTGGGGCTGGGCCCTGGGCGCGGCGTGGGGAGGCCTGGGCCGCTGGGCGTGGGCGGGGTGGGCGTGGGTATCAAAGTCCCCGAGCTGAGCGCGGCGTCTCCCTCCATAAAACTAATCCCTGGAAGGTGTGACCGCCCGAGAGCGCTCCTGACTACAAGGGCAAATATGTTTTTCAGATTTAGATTTTATGGTAGGATTAGAGTTTATTTTCCATAATAGGACACCTAATAAAAAGCGCAGGGCCGGCCGGGCCTACAGCTGGTGGCCTCGTGTGACACTTTCACTTCGTAAATCACTCCGAGGCGCCAGGTGCTCCGGCGCGGGCCCGCGGAGGGGCCGGGGCCCGGGGTCACTGCCGGGGCCGCGCACCGAGGACCGCTCCGCTTGGGCCGCCATTGTCCGGCGCGGGCGGGAAAAGGGTCCCCACCCACCGCCACTGGCCCCGCAGGAGGGCGCGCGTTTACCCAGCTGGGCAGGAACAAAGGCGTGCGCTTATCTCGCCGCCCCGCCCCGGCGAGCTCGGGGTCAGGTGGGGGGCGCGGGGCGGGAGCCCGGGTCCGGAGCCCAGGTAGCGCACAACCTCCGGGCTCTGGGACAAGCCGCGCAAGTTACGGCCCCTGGGCACTCGGGGAGGCTCCCGAGGCTGAGGGACAGCAGGGGTGGAGGCCTGCGGGGCGTGAGATCCTCCCTCTCCAGAAGGAAGGAAAAAGCAGCAAGCTCCTAGAACGCTCCGCGGGGAGTCAGGGTGTCCGGGAAGGAAGGCGCGGGCGACAAAGGAGGAGCAGGGCCTGATCCCAGCCTGGACACACCCTGGTTCCGCGGTCCTTGCTGTTGGGTTTTAACGTTCCTGGTCCTCCTGATTTGGATCCTTCCTCCGGAGCATCATTTCCTCTTCTGTATTGAGGAAGAGAAACAGAAAGGGAGGGTAGTCCCAGTGGAGCAGGGAGGGTGCCCCTGCTTCCTGCGGTTCCCGGGTTCCCCAGCCAGGTGCCTGCTGAGCGCTCTGCACCTCCTGGTCCTAGAGATGAGACTCTGCCTCTGGAGTCTTGAGACTAAAGCTGAGCAGGAAGCTCTGGGGTTTGTGCAGTGTTTGTGGAGCTGGGGGCAGAAGCCTGGCCCCCTGGATGCTGCATCCACCCTGGGGTAGGTGGCCTCAGAGGAAGGCTGGCTGTCCCTGCCCTGCGGTGTGCCCACGTGGTCATACACACATGGGACAGTGTGCCCGGGGCTCCCTGATGCCACCTGTGTTCACCCCACGCCTGTGACAAGGCACCCCTGACCTTGAGTGATGGCCTGTGTCCTGGATGCTTTACACGGACAGTGGAGATGGTGATGGCCACCTATCCAATGGGCACTCAGTGGGGTTTTTAGGGCACTCACCCACTACAGGCCACACAAGCTCAGGCACTGAGGACAAAAATGTCTCCCATTCTGGAGTTCAGGGAGACAGTGAGGAACATACCCTAAAGGAGTCTGCACAGGGACACAGACGGGGTTTCCCTGTGCATAAGGGTGCAGCTTACTAAGCTCAAGGCCACCAAAATGGCACATTTGGTGCTGCCCCTCACCAGGTGCTGCACCTGAGCCTGGCCAGTTGGCCCTGGGATCAGCTCTGCTGCAGGACTCTGGTGGGAACGGGACCTAGGGTTAGTGAGCAAAGAGAGGACTGGAGACCTGGAGAGGACATTTTTCCTGCAGCCACACTCACTCTTGTGTGGAAAGACTCTCCAGAGGACAGAAAGGCTGTGTGATAGAGGTTGCAGCAGGATTTCCAAATGTTAACATCTGATCCACAGGGAGATAATGTCTCAGAAATACGATGCAAAAGATGCCTGACTGCCTTTGTCGAGGTATTTCCAGGCCATAGCAGACAATGCTGCCCACCTTCCCAGTGCAGTGTCCACCAGCAATCACTCCCCCAGCTGGATGCAGGCTTACTGGGGTGCTGTGTAGCCTCCAGGTCTGCACAGCCTGCCCTCACCTTTGCCTTCCCACATGCTTTATGGGGTTTCCCTGTGCACAATTGCAGTGTGGCGTCTTGGAGTACGTCGACAAGGGTCCGGACCCTCTGCAGGGCAGCAGATGTTTTCACCGTGGGATCCACATCTGGGACATGGGGACATGCACAGTTCCTGTCCTTGGGTAGCTCATGGTGCCACATCTAGCTCACTGAATACTTCCTCATAAGTCAGTTGCTTACTCTGCCTGCCCATTGTACCTCCCCAGCCCCTGTCTCTGCCCTTGGGACCTGGCCTGTGCCTTCCCTGGGGTCTGTGGAGAAGCAGCCTGAGCACCTGAAGCCACACCTGGAAAGGAGGCCCTGTGAGGCATGCACAGTGAAATCAGGCTCCAGGAGGGAGTGTGGAATAGCTCGCTGGTGGCCTTGGCCCTGGAGTGTACCTCTTGTCCTCAGTTCCTGTGTGTGCAGTGGGTATTGCAGCACCTGTGTCCTGGGCAGCTGTGGAAGGTTTTGGGACCTCAGGAAGGGAAATTCTGTCTTACATGCATACATGCACGCGCGTGCATGTGCACACGCGCGCGCACACACACACACACACACACACACACACACACACCAGTGCCAGGGGTCCTGGGCCCTTCTGGGTGTACTGCTGGGTCACAGGCATTACCCCCTATCCCCCTGCTGGCCCCAGCACTGAGTCTATCAACACCTGTGCCCATGCCTGGTGATCTGACCACAGAACCTCGAGATCAAGCTGTAAGCCCCATGGTCAGCCCCAGGCCTGGTCCTGTCCTTGGGTGTCACTGTGTACATTGGACAACAGGACATTTGCAAATGTGAGGAACTAGAGCTGTGGATGGGCTTGAGAGGTGGGCATGGTGGTGAACATCTGCAGCCCCAGCACTCAGTGAGAGTGAGGTGGGAGGGTTATAAGTTTGAGATCAGCCTGTCTTGAAATAAAAACATAAAGGTTGGAGATGGTGCAGTGCAAGGGCCCCAGGTTCAATCCCCAGTGCTGCACCCACACTGTATTTGTGATTTCAGTCATCTCTGAGGTGTGGCCCACACTGAGCATGCCCACGGTATCATGTGACCATCACAGCCCACTGCAGCCTAAACCCTTCCTCACTTGGCACCCTCTGTGATGCAAAACGCATGCATAGGCCTGGGTAGCCTTTGCTGTATTCTGCTTCTGTGTTGCTCCCTGTCTAGTGCCAGGTTCTTTCCTGACTTCATCCAGGCGGGGCATCTGGTTACATGTTACAGGGACACATGAGTAAGTGATGGGGACTTGGTCCGTGCTGTATGGCCACAGCACCACTGCCAGCACGTTCCCAGGCTGAGCTCAACCTCACTATGTAGGGTTCTGAGCGCCTGGCACAGGAGAGACACAGTGAACTGGGGGAGCAGGGCTCTTCTGTCCCTGCCACAGTTTCGACTATGAGACATAGGCCCAAAGCCCAGGAAGCAGCCCCAGGCAACTGGTACCCTGGCCTTGGTCTCCACAGGCATGGGAAACACCCCGAGTTCTGACATTGCCCTACACCCACAGGGTCCCAGGGCCCTAGGCTGCAGGTGGACCAGGGGCCCTGTCACCATGCTGTCCCCCCACCCCAGCACCCCCAGTGCACACCTCCATTCCCTAGGCTTTCTCCGCCTATCTTTGGAAAACAAAGTAATTCCCTTTTAATGACCGCTGGTGTTTTCCTTCCTGCTTCTATTGGGGCAGATAAAGTCAGGGGCCTCCCCATGGGTTAAACCACTGTGACCTTCATAATCAGAGAACAGAAATAAATTATGTTTGCTCATAAATGTCACCAGGGCCCAGCCGACTTCTCACAGGTGGTGATAAGGTGCTGCTTTTATCAGGCCTGGGTGCTCAGGTGACAAAGTGCTCCTTTGTGCTGTTGCTGGTGGAAGCCTCAGTATGGCCCGCTTTCCCACCGAGGCTGTGGTGACGGTAACTTGCCCACTGGGGAACACTGAACTCCCTGGCACCTACCTGGGGTGTCCTGTGAACCCCTGAGGCCTTCAGACCCGGGCAGCATGGATTTAGTGCTGATGGGGCTGCCCTTGCATCCACACTGGGCTTGCTGATCTCAGGGTTCCTGAGGGACATGGCATTGTGCAGTGGCTCGGGTGGTACCCATAACCCAGAGGGCTCTTCCTGGGACCGACCTGGCTTCAGGGTGGAACCAGTGTTCCCAGCCTGCCTGGCACAGTCCCCATGACATAGCTACGGCTTCTGCTGCCCTTACTGCATGGGGCTCAGTCTGGGAGGACTTGGTGCTGGGGTGGCAGCAGTGTGGCAAGGGACCTTCTCTCCAGGTGCAAGGATGCCTCCCAGAAGCCCAGAGGTGACAGTAGGCCCAGAAAGCAACTACTGTGGAGCCTCCCTGCAACAAGGGACCCTGGCAGATGGCAAAATGATGATGCAACTTCCTACAACCTCCCCAAGGGCGTGTCCAGACTCTGAATTGTTTAGAACCTGCTGTCCTGACAGTTGTTTTTATTTATTTATTTTTTATTTTGAGGTAGGTTCTTGCTACACAGTTCAGGCCGACCTCAAACTTACTATGTAGCCCAGGCTCATGGTGATCCTCCTGCCTCAGCCTCTTGAGTGCTGGGTGAGCTATTTTAACAGAACTGCTTAGGCTCTGGCCTTGTCCCCATTGTCCCCTCCTGCAGGTGGCAGCTCCATCCTTCTGCTGCCTGTTGGTCCCCACCCCCACCCCAGCCCCAGGCTTCTCCCCTGGGAGGTATGAGGCCTCACTACCACCAGAGGGTGATTTATCAGCATCTGTTCCTGGTGGCTAAGTGAAAACACAGACTCCGAGGGGCCTGCCAGATCTGACCCGGAAAACTGAGGGGGCTTTAAGTCCTCCCTGCCCAGCCTGTCCCGTCAACAAGGGCCACGGTGCAGGTGACCGTGGGGAGGCATAGCTGGGCCGGGCGGAAGTGTGTTTCCTTCATTAATCAGACATTGGCCAGCAAGGCCGAAGTAAATCTCAAATAATCACATTGTATTTTTGCCGAGTTAAGTAAGTGTTTTATGCCTGGATAGGGGAAGCTGCCTTTCTGTGGGTCGGCTCTGGAGAAGCACTTACCAGGTTGCTTGCCCCTCACAGGCGATGCCGCCTTTGGGCACATCTGCTCAGCTGAGACTCTCTAGGAAAGTGGAGTTGGGCCACAGCTGTGCAAAATTAAGTGCTAACACTGTGGTCACGCTGCACTGTGGATTGCGGGGGGGTGGGCACTGGCAGCAGCGTCCTGCATGACACTAAACTGCAGAGCCAGACTCACCTTCGGGGCCTCAGCTCTCAGCCAAAACTTTCTAGGGTCTTGCTTTAACCCCAGACTAGTTTTCTGCTCTCAGCAAAGAGATCCTGGGCCATTCATCTTTTAAGAACCATGAAGCAGATTCTGACACAAACCCTCTCGATGACATTCGGCAGGTCGGGACAGGAAGAGGTGGGCTCAGCCCCCTCCCACTGCAAGGTAACCAGTTCAGCCCCAGCCCAAGCCTGAGCCAGCTTGGTGTCCATAACCCACCTGCAGACGGCACAGACACTGACAGCAGTGGAGTGGGAGTGGCCCCTGCAGCCAGGCTGGCCAGCAGGTGAGGGTGCCAAGTCGTGGTGGCTGTGGACAGATACACAGTCCCTGCAGCTATTATGGCTGCCATTTGTCCAGGAGCCCTGCTAGAGCTCAGCAGTACCACGCTCTCGCATGAGTGGCCACAGCCTGGGATCCAGATACCCCCATGTGAGCCCTGGAAACCTGGCTGTCAGATCAGCCGGGTCAGGGCTCACCTGGCTTGCCTGTTGGCAGTGTCACAGAGCAGCTGGGGAGGGCCTGCCATCGGCAGCCTGGTTTCGACTCAGCCCCAGGGGCCAGGTAGACGGGATGCCCAGGACACTGAGCCTGCACAGGGAATGATAGTACCTCCTGCCTTCTCAACCTGCCAGCCCTGCTCAGAGCAGCAGGAGGGAGGCCAGGCCAGGTAGCCAGGACAGGACCCCGCTGGCATTGTGCAAGGGACAGGTAAGTCAGCTTCATGTCAGGGAATGAAGGCTGGAGTGTTGTGTTCTGTTTTGGTTTTTGGTTTTGAGACAGGGCTTCACTGTGCAGTTCAGGCTGGCCTTCAACTCACTATGTACACAAGCTGGGCTCAAACTTCTAGCGATCCTCCTGCTTCAGCCATCTATGTGCTGGCATTTTAAGTATGGCATTACCTCACCCAGCTCAAAATATTTTAGATTTTGGAAGAAAAAGTCCTGAATTACAGAAAAGTCATATGGATACATTTCCCCTGTGTAAACTTCACCCATCCCCATCTCTGATGGAGAACCTGCCTCCTGTCTGCCCTTGCTTAAGACAGGGTTGGAGCCCTGGGCTCCCAAGCAGGCAAGCACTGTACCTCTGAGTTACTTCCTGGCCCAGAGGAAGATGTAGACTGTGTTCCAGTGAAGCTCTGCTTTCAAAATAAACTGAAACTTACACACAATGTAAGAAAATAGATTTTATTTACATCTTAGCACTATGAAATCCCACACAGAAGGCTTTAGTCACTGTACATAGCAGCAGTTCTCCACCTGAGTTGGAACAAGTTCCCAGATGAACAACACACCAAGCATCACCCACCCAGCTGGCAGCACCATCAGATGCGGGTGTCACTAACGTATTTAAAGCCGTTTCTTTACGAAGTTAAGCTCATTGGCATGTTGGGGACACAAAACGATCCCATAAGGAGTAGGCCCCTGTGCCTGCTGTGACTGATTCTTTTTATAAAAATCCCCATATTTAAAGCAACTCTAAACCACAGGCCTCTTGGTCAGGATGGATATATCGGCCACACTGGGGAGTGGTGAGCATCACACAGTGACATGTGCTCCATGCACACTCACAGGCAACCTGCCACCTGTTGCACATGAGGCTCAGCCACTGGCAGAGCCGCACTTAGGGTGCATGGTGACTTGTGCTCTGGGCGGGGGGGGAGGCAGTGTGGATGTAGGGCTGTCTGGGTGCAGCCTGGATTCACTGTGCCATGTGAGGAAGCCGCCTGGTGCCATGGGGCTCTCTTGACCCTGGCTACTGCCAGTGATGTCAGTGCTGTTGACCTGAAGTAGGCACGGTGCACAGGCCACTGCTGCCTGTGAGCTCCCCAGGGAAGAAAGGGGGCCAGACCAGCCATGCCCAGTGGTGAGGACAGGAGGCTCTGATCAGGCCCCCGAAAAAACACTGTTGCCCTGTATCCACATTCGGAAGTGGTGGGAGGTGGGTTTCACTCTGGCTCCAAAGCCTGGCTGCTAGAGCCGGTTTTCCACATTGCCTGTGAGTGCCCCGCCCCGAGACTGGGCCTGGCTACTGGGTGACCTGTGACCTCTAACTCACATCTGAGCAGCCATTCCAGCAGGTCACTCCACTGGCAAGGCTTGGGCAAGTGTTTGGATCTCAAGCGCTGGCAAGCAGTGAGCACAGTGTGTCTGCTCCTCAGCACCCAGGCTTCTGTTCCAGGTGTGTGCATTTGTGTTTGCTTCTCACACACGTGCGAGCTCCAGTGTGCAGGTGACACCTCCACGACCTGTTAGAATCAGGCAGCCGGGGCCTGGCAGCAAGCGGCACCAAGTGTCCATTCCTATTTGGAGACTTCAGAGTTATTTAAGCAAACACTTCCCATGGGGAACGGATGGGTGGGAAGGTCTGGAGATCTCCAGAGTGCTCCCGCCCAGCAGCACAAGACACAAGAGGACTCCCAAGGGCTGACAGCAACTGACTGTTCAAAATCCACCTGTGCTCCGAGCAGTAAAACAATCAATCAGACATCCTGCATCAAAAGTAGCTGATTTGTTTTAAGCTCATGATTTTTAAACTTTAAACCAATATTTAAAAAAAGAAGAAAATTAAGTCAGGTGTGGTGGCACATACCTGTGATCCTAGCTATGCAGGAGGCTGAGTCAGGAGTATCTCAAGTTTGAAACCAGCCTGGGCAACTTAATGAGACTTTGTCTTATATAAAATTAAAAAAATAACAAAACAAAAAAGGCCAAGGTTGTAGCTCAGTGCTTTCTAACTTCAATCTCCAGTACTGACAAAAATAAAGTAAATTAAGATTACAAATCAAGCCTTGCTGTGTGAGAACACCATCCGTGCCCAGCCCTGCCCCTCCACTTAGGCACTTCTTGATCTATCTAAACATGACTGGAATGCAATCCAACATCCAACGGAAAGTCACCCCAGGGCCAGGGACACTGCTCAGCAGCGCAGCGCCTGCCTGGTAAGCACAAGGCCCTGAGTGCCAGTGCACTCCGGTTGCAGCTATATCCGTGGAGCAGCCCTGCCCTGCAGAGCCTTGGTGGCGAGCCCCGCCCTCTCTCTCAGCATGGCAGCCTCTTCGGGGCTCCGCTGGGCCTGTGCGGGCCTTAGGAGGAAGTGGCTGATGAAAAGCTTCAGGCCCTCCCTCAGCACGCCCAGCTTCGGGTTGTCAGACACCCTGCAAGGGAATCACATAATGTCAGGCCAGGTTCCTCGGTCCATGCGTGGGGAACCATGAGCAGTAACCTCATTGATTTTTATTTCTCATTTGTTCTTTGTGCTGCTTGGGATCAAACCCAGTGCCTGGACCAGACCAGGCCAGGCCAGGCCAAGTGCTCTATCTCTGAGCTGTGGCCCCAGCCCCAGTGTCCTCTGAAACTACTTTTTTTGAGTGAGGGTCTGTGTCCCTCAGGTTGGTCTCAAACTCCTGGGCTTGAATGATTGTCTTCCCTTGGGGCTGGGGCAATAGGCCTGTGGCACCATACCTGGTTTCTTTTGCAGCAGAATTCTAAGGGCTGGGTATAAGTGCCTACCTAACGTGCATGAGTTGCTGGTTCAAGCCCCAGCACTGCAAAACCTCAGGATGTCATTACAAATCGTTGTTAGTTTGCTATCCAGCAAGTCTTATGGTTTCTAAAGTTAATGCCTAAGATTAGCTTAAAGTTAAGGTTGAAATGACCAAGTTACCCATAAAGTAAGCCACTGCTTTTACAAACTAGGAGCGGTCTCTTCTCCCTGTTACCACACAGTAAGAACAAGCTTGCTACATACCTTGAAAAAATCAAACTCAAATCTTCAACCTCTGCTTCCATCAGCAGCATGGTTAACACTCTGCGTAGAAAGTGGACTCGGGGCTTGTCCAGTTCACTGAACTCAACCACCTAGTCATCAGGAGACAGAAGACAAAAGCACACTGTTGGACCGACTCTTCCAATGACTTGAGCGCAGGTAACTTGAGTAACCTAGGCTCTACCCTCTCCTCTATCTCCACTGGTAAAAATGAGCAGCTGTGGCCACTGGGAACCCCCTCCACGTTAGGCACTGGTCTTGCAGCTCCAGGACACACATCTGCCAGCCAGGATCTGAAACATACATTCTTTCACTCCGCTGGAGAATGACCTGCTGCGTGTGAGAGGCTCCCCACGTTCAGAACAGAAGAGATGCGTCAGGCAAACCCACTCTCTCCTAGAAAGCTGCACCCAGAGCTAACTCAACACTCTCAGTGGAACTGGTCCACAGCCTACACTTACTAGTGAACGCTACATCTCAGTGATACAGTCAGAAACTACAGGCATTAATGTGGCTAATTTTAGCCAGGTGTGGTAGCACATACCTTTAATTTCCACACTTGGGAGGCTGAGGCAGGAGCAGTGTTGTGAGTTCGAGGCCAGCCTGGGCTGTACAGGGAGTTCAAGACTGGCCTGAACCACAAAACCATGCCCAGGAGCGAGGACACATGCAGGGGGACACATGCAGGGTTAAATGGCAGTGACTCTGTGTGTGTGTGTGTGTGTGTGTACAGTAGAGCCCAAGGTGTCAGGGTTAAATGGCGGTGACTGTGTGTGTGTGTGTACAGTAGAGCCCAAGGTGTCCCCATGAGTAAGCTTCCAACAGCTCCCTGTTGCCTGGGGTGGCTGGTAGCCCGGCCTGTTCCATGCTGTGCTCTGCATACCAGTGAGAGGAAGGTAGGACTTAGTCCGACGAAGAAAGGACAATCTACCTTTTTTTCTTTCTGGTCTTCAGGAGACAGGCTCTCACTATGTAGTCCAGGCTGGACTTGAGCTCACTTTGTAGCCCAGGCTGGTCTCAAACCCCCAACAATCCTCCTGCCTCAGCCTCCTGAATGCTGGGATAGGCGTGTACCACCACACCCAGTGAGAGGACAATTTTTCATGCTAAAAGTTGTTCCAGCTTTCAGGACATGGTATGAAGAATGAGCACCCCTATGGTCAGCACATGGCTGGGATCCTAATCCCAGCATACACTAAAAGACTTGAGGAGCTCCTGAGAAGATGCTCTGATGAGATGTGGAAGGCACAGGGCCACATCCATGGCCACCAAGCAGACTACTCCTTGGGCCACAGCCAGTCCTCTTGCCACCCACCTTCAACCCTCCGAGTTCCCAGGATGCCACTGCCCAGGCTGGACTGCTTGCCTCGAGCCCACTTCCTGTCTCACAGCTCCACCATCCCCTTGTAGGATACTGGGAATCTGCAGTTTCTGGCTCTGAAGTCTCAAAGCCCAGTGAGAGGCAGGGACATCATTTTAAAATACCCTACACTAAGACCCTACAACATGTCCTGACCATCCTGCCTCACTGTATTCACCCTCCCAGACCCAATCAAGACCTCAGTGAGGGACAGTACACTGGCCTCAACCCAGAGGATATCCATTTGGACCAGCAAAAGCTCTCACTGGTGTTACTTCACAAGGTCAATTCCCTCCATGTGAGTTTCTACACTGGCTGCCACTGGAAACAGTTTTCGACATCTTGGGAAATGCATTTTTAAAAGTACAAAATATAAGCGATTATATTAATATTTCATTGCTCTAAATAACTTCATGCATCATACAAACCTTTAAGATGGAAAGTGGAAGTGACTTTGTCTTCAACAAGTGTGCCACCAAGTGAACCAAATTTAAGAATTTGGTGTCCGGTAAATTTTCTAAGTCCCGAAACTTGTCCCATATGCTGAACTGGAAGGTCATCTAGTGATCATTAAAAAAGTTAAAGAGCAGCAATCATTAGAACGGACCATTAAGAATGCAGTCCACTAGGATCACACTTCTTCCCCTTTCCTTTTACTCATTTGTTTCTAGTACCCTAAAACCACAACTGTCAGGTAAACGAACTGCTCTGTCCTTTCCCTGGACAGGATGGAAACAGCTTTTCCCAATGGGCCTCTTGCTGGCGCCCCTTGTCACCAGCAGCTGAAAGAAGGCTTCCTACTCACTACGGGGCTCAGTGCAGTGACAGCGCTACAGTCTACCTCTCCTGACTTGTGACCTGCCCATGTCTGTGACAGCACAGTGACCACTTTCTCTGTCTCCACCCCTCTCGCTGGTGGGCCTGGCTGCCCCTGAGGGCCCACAATGCCTGGTGTAGGTACCACACCGTGCCCCAGGTTACCTGGAATCTCCTCTCGTAGCCACAGAACTTGCTGGCCAGGAAGGCATAGAAAGGGTTGTAGCTTTTCTCCTGCAGGCAGCAGTCCATGAGCACGTGGACGATCTCTCGCTCCTGCTGGTCCTTCAGCCCAAGCCTACACACAGGAGCAGCTGGCTGAGCTGAAATCTTTTAGAGACCTTCAAAGTGAGCTGGTTATGGGAGTTGGCAACAGGAGCCACAGACAGGGCCACAGCCCTGACCCCATCTAGCCTGGTATCATTCATTCCATAATACAGTGAAATACTGGAAGGCACATGACCCCCAAGTTATGAATCAGCCACAGAAGCCATGGCCAGGACTCTCCCATGTGCACTTAAAACTCAGGTTCTGGTTGAGGCAATGACGCTTTTAGTTTAGTACCTGAGGTAAAACTCACAGTGAAACATGCTCTGAGTGTGCACCAGCCACAGGGTCAGGAAATACCATTGTAACAGACACACCAAACCCAAGCCCCTCTGTGGCCAGCATTTCCCTGGCCACCCTCAGTCTGCCCTCTGTCTCTCCAGCTCAGCCACTGCCAGACATAAACAAGCAGCTCTTGGCACACGGCAGAACACAGGTGTAATCACCCATGCCAGGGTCCTGGGCCCTCTCGCTGTAATATAGTGTGAGTGCCCCTCCACCCACCAAAGGGGAGCAGCTTGGATTCTTCATCCTCCCAGTCAGGCACATGTGGGGTGTTCGAAGTTTCTGATGATTAGAAGTAACTGTTGTTGGGCTGGGGATTTAGCTCAGTGGCATAAGCACCTGCCTTGCAAGCAGGTGGTCGTGAGTTCAATCCCCGGTACCGATTAAAAAAAAAAAAAAAAAAAAAAAAAAAAAGAAGTAACTGTTGTGTGTGTGCTGGAGATGGAAGCCAAGGCCTCACCCACATGCTAAGCAAGTTGGCTGAAGATGTGGTGAATAAAAATGGGGAATGGCATTGTTAACAGACATGGTGTTTTGTTTTGTTTTGAGACAGGGATTGGTCTTGAACACATGGTGATCCACCTACCTCTGCCTCCCAGGGAGCTGTGAAAGGAGGACTTCCTGGCACACAAGCTGGATAAAGCCACACTCTCCGAAGTGAAGCTGTACCAGGCTCACCAGGACCCAGGAGTGTCAGCCAACTGCCAGGTCCTAGCCCACAGAGGACTGTAGGTTTCCAGCCAACAAGGTCCTCCAGTTGAGAGGGTCCCCACCCTACCCTAACTTCAATGCAAACCCCAGGAAACACAGAAAGGAAAATGAGCTGATATCATATTGCTTAGAAATATTTTGTAGAAGTCTGCAGGTATTTAAAAAAATGTATCACAACTAACTGTAGAAACTAAAACGTTTCAAACTAAGCATCAGAAGGTCAGTCAGGCATGGGAATGCATGCCTGGAATCCCAGCACTTGGAGAGGCTGAAGAGGAGGATCAGGAGCTCAAGTTCAGCCTGGGGAACTCAGTGATTTTAGTAGAACCTCTCTCAAAATAAAAAAACATGCAAGGATTGGGAGATAGCTAAGAGGGAAGGCCTTGGGTTCAATCCCCAGGACCACAAAAAAGAAGCAGAGATCAGAATGCTGATTTTAATATGAGGGTTTCCACATCTCCAAGCAGCTCTAGATAACCAGCAGCCCTTGGGACAGTGCAGTGACCTACAGCAGTTCAGCAGGGATGCCTGGCCTTCCATAGAGGGGACAGAAAGCCCTGTTACCCAGGAAATCCAAACCCACACACAAATAACATCTGACTGAGAGCTACAGACATTCCCACAAAGGCTCACTTGAGCAGCTTTTCAAAGGCATCCAAAAAGTCCTCGCTGGTCATCACTGTGCAGAATATGTTCCTCCTGACATCTGTGTTCATCCTCTGCTTCCGGGCAAGTTGCAGCATCTTTGCGCTTACCTAGGAGGAAGCAGTGTGGGCCCCACCAAGTCGGGACTGATGCCTTTGGAGGAGCACCATGCTGGCCCTGGCTCTGCTCAGTACTCACGGCTGGACCAGCCTCATCCCAGGGAAAACGACTGGACAAAAGCCCAAGGGAAAAAGAGCCCAGCCTGGAGACTGCTCAGAGGGCAGCTCGGAGGTGAGGTCAGACGAGTGTGGCTGTGGGAGTGGGAAGCTACAGCCACCAAGCATGACAAGGCCAGGCCAGGAGGGGCCAGGAAGGGAAGAGGAGGACATCTGGGCCAGGTGCAGACACTGGCTAATGGACTGAAGCCACATCCCTGGGCAACGACACACATCTGCATTTCAGGGATAGGCATCAGGAGACTCACACCATCCCCCACTCCCTCTACTCTGAGATCTCTGGGACCTTAAAGAACTCTTTAAGATGTGGGGTGTGTGGTGCACACCTGTAACCCCAGTACTTGGGAGGATGCGGCAGGAGGACTGCTCCAAGTTTGAGGCCAGCCTAGGGTACATAGTGACTTTAAGGCCAGCCTGCCTATACAGTAGACCCTATCTCAAAAACAAACAGAACTCTTTAAGGAGAAACGACAAAAGCTGAGGTAAACATATCTTTTTGTGTTAACATGTTGCATAGGGTGGCCTGGAACTTCTGGGCTTAGGTGACATTCTGCCATGGCCCAAGCAGCACGGATGCACACAGGTGCCCTGTGCCTGTCTTTACATTACACCTGACTCACTAACACAGCCACTTCTCCGAGGCCTTTAGATTGTACCGTGCAGCAGCAACATTGCGCTCCTGCAGGGAGCTGGGACCGATGAGAGTAAGGGGCTCCCTACCGTCCCGAGTGGCTGCTGTGGGGCTGCACGATGACAGCTGTCAATCATTGGGGCCCCGCTCCAGGCGGAGCCCACGATCCACCAGCGACCTGTCTGCTCTGCATTCAGGATGCTGTCCCAGGAGACTCGGAGTTGTGTCTCGGAGCCGGAGCCAGCACTGCGTATCTGTCGAGGAGAAGCCCTGGTGAGAGTGCCACTAGTCACTCTGTGTGCCCACCGCATGCCTTGGTGTCCTGTGACACTTCTCTGCCATGTGATGGTGGTGAGGAGTCCCTGGATGTTGGGCTAAATGCCAAAGCAAACAGGAAGCGCCAGCATTTTGTTCTTAGGGCCTGAGTCTCTCACCATGTCTGCGGAAAACTGTCATTAAGGGACCTGACAGCCACCACAGTTTTGGTGACAGAAGCCTGGCTATGCAGAGCTGATGCCAAGTAACTCAGGCAGAATGAGGCCCACCCCAGATGACCTCCTGGGCTCAGATGTGCTGAGGGCCCCAGGGGACCTAATGCACCATCGGTGTCCGGCAGCTCACACCAAGCTCTAGTGCAGGCAGGAAGCGAGACCGCACCAAGGAAAACCCACCGCTTGCCGCTCAGGCTCCTATACACAGGATTGGCCCTGCCCCAGGCCACACTGTGCCTGTGTTTTCTCAGGACACCCACGTGACACAAAGGCTGGAGAAGGACCAGAGTAAAGGTCACTGACCAGCGTCCTCTGCAGCTTCCGCAGCCTCTCCACTGGTTCGGGGTCGTAGCCTGGGATCTTGCGCATGTCGTTGTTCTTTAATGCCAGCATCGTCTCCAGCATAAACCGAATCTTTACGGAAAACAAGGAGAAACAGGACCTGTCACCCTCCATCATCTAACAGTGATGACCCCACCCAGGTGCCTTGTCTCACTATTTCAAAAGCAGAGTCCGATGCTTCTGCAGATCTGTACGGCCGCCACATGCCCTCTTGTCTACTGAAGGGTGACTTGACCTTTGTCTTCCTTTAGCCTCCTCTCCACTATGCTGGGTCACTTCTGACTCCTGACCCATGGCACTGTCTCTATACACACATGCACTTCCTGTGTCCCCAGATCCAGCAACACTCCCACCTTCCCACTGACCAGAAAGGCCACAAAAAGGGAGCGGTCACAGGTTGAGCACCAGCCAATACCTCCAGATACGCTAAACTCTGCCCGCCCAGGGGTCCCCACGACTCTCCACAGCTGTTCCTGCATCGTTCCTCAACAGCAGCATCTCTTCTTTCCTTGGGTATATCCACATCTCTCAGCCTCAGAACAGCAAATAAGGTTGGAGCCGAGGGGCACTGTTTTACAGAGGGAGAAACTGAGGCCGGCAAGATGCAGGCAAAGCCATGAATCCGGACAAAGTCACAGCCTGACATTCAGGCCACAGGCACTCAGGGCTCCCGCCACAAAATTTTCTGAATGATTGAATGGTAAGTAAGCTGACTTTTAAATGCATAAAATAATGCCAGGCATGGGGGTGTAAAACTGTAATCCCAGCACTTGGAAGGCTCAGGCAGGATTGGCACCAGTTCACATCCAGCCTGGACTACACAGTGAGTTCAAGACCAGCCTAGACTACACAATGAGACCCTATCTCAAAAATAAATAAATAAATAAGTAAACAAATTCACAAAAATTCCCATAGATTCTCAGTAATAAAAAGGTGAGCCCATAGGTTAAAGATGACTACCGCCAGGTGTGGCAGCACACTTGTAGTCCCAGCTATTTCGGGAGCAGAAACAGGAGGATTAAAAGTTTGAGTGTAGCCTGGCTACAAAACAAGACCTACCTCAAAATAAAAAAAGGTCTGGGGATACAGCTTAGCACAGCCTACGTTCAATTCCTGCCACCCCGCTCCCCCAAATAAGGATAGAATCACAGAACTAGCTAGCTAAGGCCACGGAGACCCAGAGTCAGTAAGGAAAGAAGAGGAATATTTACCCTAAACACTGATTTCTAAGCTCTGGAAAGTCTGTGGCAGGGAAGTGATCTCGTACCCTGGTCTGGTCCTGAAACCTGCTGCCTGCAGCGCTGGCCTTGGCCTGGGCCTCGGTGATCAGCTCTTTCAGTGACAAAGCGTTGTCTTTTCGTAACGAGAAGCCCACGTTCTTCAGCATGAGTAGAATCAGCTCGATGTCTTTTTCTGTGAAAGTTTCTACCAGTTTCTTCAGAATGTCAAAGATGAGCAGGGACTGTACCACGTGGAAATTGTACAAGTGAGCGACGATGATGAACAGGTTGTCACACTCCTTCCCCTCACCTCCATTCCGATAGACATCATCAAACTTCCTCACCACGGCTTCCAGGAAGCACGCACCAACCTAAAGGGGCAGCAGAGCTGTGCTGTCACACTGTCTTCAGGACCTCCTGCTTTAAACTGCTAAGCGCCTCCAAAGTATCCCAAAGCATGTACATACGGTGACCACAGGACACACGCACCAAGAGCACAGCCTGCGGCGACTCCAGCATGATGCAGCGGGCACAGAGCATGAGCAAACAGCAGCAGCGTGGGTGCCTCCTTGGTACTCAACCCACACAACCTGGACACGTTGGAGGTCAAGCACCAAGTGGGACTTTCTGGCCAGCAGCCATTGTGGTTGCTTGGAAAAATGAACTTAAAAAAATTTTTAAACGCTGTCAGAAACATCCATGTCTCTAATAATGCTCTCTACCTAACAACACTTATTTTGCAGATAACTTTTCCAGTTTTCCTCTCAGTCAGTTTCCTACACGGAAGTGATAAAAGTGAAATCCAAAGTACAAAACCACAACATACCCTTGAATGGCAACCTCTACTCCAAACAGGCAGGTGACTTCACCCTGAGGTCACATGCACGGCACATGAGCTCTCAGCTCCACACAGGGAGTCCACACCCTGCCACACGTGTGTACTCTGCAGAGACAGAAGGGAAGCTTGCCTGCGGCTGAGGGAAAGCAGGGGGGTAGCATCCTGCTGCTGGCTTTGTGCTGCTCGCCACAGTCTGATCCGTGTCCCTAAGTATTGGGGCTGACTCTGAATCGGGTGGTCCTGGGCAGGTTCCATCTTTTCACTTTGCAAAACTGAGTCAAGGAAATCCAAAAGCAGAAATGGTAATTGTTGGCTTTGCTAGTGTAACTGTCACGTCATTGTTTTTCCTCTAATCTCAGCTCAAACGGAAATGAGAGAGAAGAGACAGCAAAGGGACACTGGTGACATGGAATGATGTGGACAGTCCAGCCGGGAGACAACAGCCTGCAGGGGTAGCCATGATGGACTGAACATACAGAGCTGGGACCCCAAGGAGACTGGCAGGGTATGGCATGTCACTGGACATGGAAGAAGTGCCCCTGCTTCCCACATATTCGGTCTGTGCCATTAGGAGACACTCAAGGAGAAGCAGGTTAGGGGGCTGACAAAATTTGCTTAAGTCTTATTGGCTTTGACTGAAGGACATTGGGTAGGATGGATGGAGAACTATGAACAGTGATGGGCGTCTCAGAAATTAATGTTAAAAGAATCTAGAAAAGGCCACCAGAGCAGCAGGGGCAGTTGACTCCCTGGAAGCCTGCTCCCAAAGACTGGACATGCTCTTCTTTACAGGTTAAGTGAATGTAACCTGCAAACTCCCAATTCAGGGCTCTTCATTAAATATAAACCCAAAGATGCTAACTCCTAGTATGCTTATTGTATCAAGAAAATTCCCCCTTTGTGGGTCCTGAACGATGAACCCAGGACCTCATGTCTGCCAAGCAAGTGCTCTGCCACTGAGCTAAGCTCCCAGATCACTGGCATTTTCAACATATAGATGGAATTATACCAAAATATTAAAATTCTGTATGATGATTCAAAATTACACATCACAGTACACTAAAAATATGAACATTCACACTGCTAAAACTGCTTAAGTATGTATATTAATTGTGATGTGTGAACGTTGATCATAAATTTACATAGATACTTTTAGTGATTCAGAGAAGCAACCCAGCAGAGGCCATGGTGGCTTTTTGTGCTTAGTTTTTTTCCTGTGAACTCCTCTGAGGCTATTTGTCTCAGTATAGCATGAAAGGAATTTAATGGAACTGACATCCTGAGAGCTCATCACGTCTGGCAGAAGTTTTAGTGGCTGTCATTAGCTAAGTACTGTAACGACTTCCCCTCGGAACAAGTCATCTCACTGTCCTTCATGCTATTAGCAGAGGTCTCAATGAGAAGTAGGACCAATAATTTGTGTTTTCAAATCAAGTAAATTCCTGATGTACTGTAGACAGTCAGGGTCTACGACTTTCCAATCCTTATTAAAACACTGCCTATAATAAAACCATGTTAATTATTAAGTCACTGAAGTGTGAGCTGAGAGGATGAGGATGTACTAAGTTGGCCACACAGCACTGAATTACAGCAATCACATGCACCAGGAAATCTGTCCAGGCTTCCATTATGCCTTGTAATGGCCAGAAAATGGACTTGCATTTGTGTGGGAAAACCAGAAAAAAATCACTGCCAAAGGGAGTCCCACAGCAGCCGGCGCAGATTTGCTACCACAGAGCTCACAAGGTGGCTGAGGAGTGCTGTGACCATTCACCCTGGGCCTAGACCACCTCCCTCCTGCCCTCAGGTTTCTGTCTGCAGGTCTCAAAGCCTCTCATCTTTCTGGACATTACCATAATAAGACTACTGCTACGTAAGAAAAATGTGGTGTAGGCTAGACCCACAGCTAAACCTACAGCAGGGGGAAAAGCTGGCCACCAAAGCAGGGGATGACCAGAAGTTCAGCAGGAGCATCTCCTTCCCCACTAGAAACAGTGAATGCCTAAGAAACTGTGAGCACAGATGGTGGGCGGTCCCTGCCCCCACACCTGCCACAGCTGGCAAGTGACAAACCGTGCGATGTGCCAGTACCTCAATTCCAACTGTGTGGTGGAGAATGCTGACCAGGAGGACGTGCTCCATCATCAGGCGGCTCGGCATGGTTGAGGAGGTGACGCAGGCGTCCATGAGGGTAGCAGTCAGTGTGTCACTCATGTCCTTCCTGCTGTGGGCCATGTACAGCTCCTCCAACTGTCCACTTATGAATGCCATGTTGGGCTCACTCAGCCTGCAGAGGGACGTGAGCAGAACAGGGACCATTTTCTAGCTCATTTAAAGGGTAAGAACTTATTAATATTTACTAATATTCCCTACGTTATGTACTTTTGACCTAGAAAAAAACTCTCACCTTGCCACAATACCCCAGGGTACATTGCCCATCACCACTTCATACTTTGTAGTCACTAAATACCTGTGCCTTTAGCTGACACACAGCCAGTGAAGCACACCCTGCATTCTCAATCTGCAAGAATGTATACGAGGGTACGCTCTGGATATCCTGATCTGCTACCTCCAGGGGAAAGGACTATCTTTAGGTTGTGTTGCTAGCAAAAACACTAACTTCCCCATTTGTCTTTTTTTTTTTTTTGGTCTTTCTGACACAGGGTTTCACTGTATGGTTCAGGCTGACATCAAACTCTTGAGTGGACTACATATAGGCCTATGCTACCACGACCAGCTTCCCATATCTTAAGTGGCACAAACATCTTGGCTTCTCACACTGAGCAAAGGCCATCTTATTTGCAGGGTAGGATGAGAAGATGAGAAAGATGACTCGAAATATCTCCATGCTTATACTGAACCAACTATCTTAAACAGTATACCACTATGTGGTAAAATTCCAGCACATTCCATGAAAAGCATGTTTGGGTATTAATTAAAAAGAAGTAAACAGCCAGGTCTGGAGGCACATGTCTGTGATCCCAGCACTCAGGAGACAGAAAGGAGGACTGCTACCAAGTTTGAGGTCAGTCTGGGCTACAAAGTGAATTCAAGATCAACCTGAACTGCACAGTAAAACCCTGTCTCAAAAAGACCAAAAAAATCCCACAAAAAACAAAAATCCCAAAACAAAACACCCAAAAAACGCCAAAACAACAAAGCAACACAGGGGAAAGGAGGACCCATGACAGGTAAAGGGGTGGTGTAAGAGCCTGACTGTGGTAGCCATTACACAAATCTTCACATGATAAAGCTACACAGGATTTTATGCACACACAGAAGCACAATGAGACCAGAACCAGAAAAAGTTCTGGAGGGCTGTGTGTCACCTCCTCACTGTTTTTAACTGTATGCTAGCCACTGAGGATGTTACCATCTGTGGCACCCAGATAGGGACAGGAGGTCCTCACTCTGAACCTGGAATCATTTCTGAATCATAAGTTAACCCAAAAGGAATGCAACTTTTTGGGAAAACCAGGTAAGGTGTTGGAAGTCAGGGTAGTGGTCACCTTGACGAAGGTGACGAAGGGCTTGACGAAGGGGCTCAGGATTCTGAAGAAGGTTAATGGAAGACCTGCAGAAGGGGATTAGGGAACAAGGTCATGTCTAAGCAGCATGTCCAATCAAACTCTTAGACAACAAGAAACACAGACCTGAATAGTGACCAGAGGGATGGAAGATCACAACGCCCATCAGTGAGTCTGGAACTTTGGCCAGGCCTTCTCTGGCTGTTCCTGGGGTGACACAAATGCCCTGCCCTTTTCTTTCATGCCCCTCACACTAATGAGGTGAGCCCAGGGGGTTGCCTTCAGACACCAAGGGGACTCCCAGTGCTAAAGGGCCAGGCATCATCTCCTTCTTCAAGTATGAGTCTGGATGCATCAGACCAGGAACACGAAGGATCCCAACACGGCTAGTCCTGTGATTCTGGACCAGTATCTGCATTTTCAGAAGCAGACAACCCACTGCAGTGACAGAACTATGTAAAGTTACCTATTTTTTTTTTTTTTAATTGGTACCGGGGATCGAACTCACAACCGCCTGCTTGCAAGGCAGGAGCTTATGCCGCTGAGCTAAATCCCCAGCCCCGCAAAGTTACCTATTAATGAGGCCTTTAACCTGTTTCTTCAGTCTTTCCAGTTCCAGCTTCTTGTGGACGTCCACCGTCTCCAGGGCCTGTCTACCCTGAGGTGGGATGTACTTTTCACTACTTTCACAAAGACTTTCCTTGAAAAAAGGAGAATAAATGGCAAATAATTGAAGCTGGTCAAATCCCACTTTTTCTCTTGCTTTATGCACATTTAAATAATAAAATCCCAAGAACTCGCGGTTGCTTTTTTTTCACCATTTCTGTTTAACAACATGAGAGGTCTCCGGAACACTCTGCAGGCTCTGAAAGCTCATTTCTACCCCACCGCCGACACTGTACTGTGCTCAGCTCCCCACTACTTTGAAGGACCTGAAGCTGCCTGTACCTGTGGAGCTGTGTCCTCATTCTTTGAATTCTCATCTTTCAAATCTTCATCTACAAAACGGACTCTCTTCCTCCCCGTCGTCTCCTGCGCTCCGCTTTCCACATCCTCATGGGCTTCCTCATCCTCCGCCGAAGGCGCTTGCCCTTCCGCGTCGTCCTCGCTCTCGCTCTCGCAGTCGCCATCCAGGTCGCTCTCGGGCAGCGTTTCGTCCTCCTCCCCGCTGCTCTCGTACAGGCCGCCGCCGCCTGTCCCGGGCTCCAGGGCCCCCAAGATGTAGTCCAGCCCGTCGCGCGTGAAGCTCAGTGGCACAGAGCTGCTATCGCCCTTCTTCTTGCGCTTGTTCAGGCCGAGGCAGCGCTCCAGCTTCCGGATCTCGCGGTCCTCCTCCTCGTTGGCCGCTAGCAGAGCCCGCTTCCGGGCGGCCGCAGTGGCCGAGGGTCTGGCCTTGCCTGGGCGACCCTCAGCCTTGAGAGGAGGCCCGTTAGTCCGGGTAGCCTTGGCCTTGCTGTGGGCCGAAGGCGCTGGGGCTGCGGGAGCCTTAGGTTTGGCCACGGGTACCTTGACCTCGGCTTTGCTGTGGGCCGGGGCGGCCTCGGCCTCCGGAGCCCTGCTGACTGAGAAGGCGCCACTCTCCTCCTCGGCAGTCCTGAGTCTTCCAGCCCGCTGCAGGCGGCGCGCCTTCCGCAGCTGCAGGCGGCGCGCCTTCCGCAGCTGCCGCTTCTCCCTCCGCAACTCCTTGCGGCTCTTTCTTCCAAGCGTCCTGGAGCGCTGCGAAGCAGCGCGTCCCTCATAGCCCCCGGGAGCCTCGCCCTCAGAGTTGGTCCGCACGAAGCCCTCCACGGCCAGTTTGAGCCGCTTCAGGGCTCCTTGCCCGCCGGGGCCGCCACCGTCGCGTTTCATGCTGGCCCCACCTTTACGGCCAGATAGTGCCAACTTCGTGGGCGCCGCCATGTTTGAAGGAAGTCGGTAGCGACTTCCGGTGGGGCGGAACTTCCGGGCGAGCACGGCGGCGGGGCAGAGTGGGGCGTGCGGTGCCCCCTGCTGGCTGGAGGGTAGCAGTAACGAACACCGCTACAGGTTCCTGGGAAAAAATGAACCTCTTGCAGACCTAGGTGGAGACCTGACCTGAAGGTGTGTGGCTGCTGGTCCGCGTGCGCCGCTAGATGTGTGTGCCAGCGGGGAAGCATCTGTTGCTGTTGCCCTGGAGGTCCTACGGAACCTTCATCCCCTTGTTAGAGACCGCAGCACCGCAGTCTATCTGGACCCCAGTCTGAGGCTGATCTAGATACGTTGTGGTTTCCAGAAAAGCGGGCTGAGTCAGGAGCCTCAACGCAGTTACCCGCGTGGAGGTGGGATGCCGTGGCCGCGAGCCCAGGGAGCCAGGCAGAGGCAGGGTACCAGTTCTGTCAGGGAATCCTACAAGGAGCCAACGTGCCGCACACTTTTGGATTTCTGGCCGTGAATCAGAGATAATATCGTTTTTTCCTCCTTTTCTTTTTTTTGTCTGTTTACTTGCTTATATTGAGACAGGTCTTGCTATAGATTCCAGGCTGGCTTTAACTTGTGGCAGTCCTCTTGCCTCAGCCTGCCAGACACTGGACATATAAACATGTGCCACCATTCTGCACGTGTCTATATGTGTCCTCCCGCCTCCCAGCCTGGAGACTGTGCTCCCTTTGTGCTGCTCTGTTACTGGGCAGTTTGCATTAGGACAGGACTGCAGCTCACATCTAATTTGTTTACTTGCTCAGTTTCCAGCCAGCCCAGGTCTGTTTCCCCCAAGGCTGCTCTGCAACTTCTCAGAAGCCCTCCCTCCCCAAACTTCCAGTTCTCCAGGCTTGATGTTTTAAGAATGTTTTGATGTCTGCCAACTTGTAAGCTCCAACCGGTATCTCATTATTTTAATTCCTCTTGAAAGCATCAAATATTTTAGATATCCAGTGACAATTTGCGTTTCTTCCTGTTTCTGGTCATGGCCTATGTTCCTTATATAATTTTAACTTTTTTTTTTTTCTTTTTTAACAGGAAATGTACTGTGCACTCAGAATGCAAAGGGAGAAAAGAGATGTAAGGTAAGAGCCAGCCTGCCCTATCCCAGCTGCTGTGTGCCAGGTTCCCTTGGGGAAGCAGCAACATTATGTCCTCAGCCATCTCCTAACAGATTCCATGGTACTCTTCCCTGTTTCATCATAAATGCTGGCCCACATCTGGGGGGCGGGGGCTTAGTTTTGTTCTTGTTTTCTGAGTGTTTCACTCAAGGATATGCCTTGGGAATGGCCCGAGCACAGATGGGCTGACAGCGTGCCTTCCTATCTCACTGTCTCCTGGGTTGGTGCAGAGTCCTCTGTCACGCAGCAGCCATGGTGACACAGCATCCTGTCTCATTGCCAGCTCAGGAAGTAGAGGGCTCCTGCCTTTGCCACCCTCCCCATGTTGCCGTTCTGATCCTGTCCACCTTCCTCTCCTAATTCCCTGGGTTTCTGACCCCAGTCTTTGTCTTTTAGGGGAACAATACTGCCACCCCATGCAAGAAGTCACCAATCCCTGGTGCCCTTGACCCCCATCTCTGTGGCTCAGACTACCTCCGTGGCCCTGCTGTGCGCTCTGACTCTTCATCACTGCAAGACAAACTGCACCAGAGCTCGGACTTCTCCAGGGGATGTAACACCAATAGTGCAATTAGGAAGTGTGGAACTGCTGTCCTCTACTTACCTGAGCCTGGTCATCACCCCAGGACCAACCTTTCTGACTTTGGTCCTAAGGCCCGCTACCTTGAGACAGGGATAAAAATAGAACTACCCCAGGAAGTTTCAAGTTCCAGACCAGGAGGCATGGATGCCAGACGTGCCAGCGTGACCTACAATAGCCTTCCTTCACCTGGAGCTCCTTGAAGGTTCCTGCATGTGGATGGCATCACAGGCACCCGATTATAACAGAGTGAATTCTGGGAAAGGACATGTGCAGTAGCCTCAGCACTCTGATGGTCACACTGTGCATCATGCCCTGAAAGACCCAGTGGGCACCGCCTTTCACCTGGCACATTCTAGATATTTGTACCCCCCCACCCCGCCTTCAGTGCTTCCTGCTGGAGTGTCCTCAGAGCGTACCATCATCTTATTAAACTCTGCTGCTGTTCCCTTCCTTACCTTTGCGGGCCACTTCTAATTTTTCACCCCAAACACTTGAGCCTCAAACCCGTGAGCTAGAAACCCATTTGCGATGCATCGCCTGTGGTAACACCAGAACAGTATGCAGCACCCTCTGTAGGACTGGCCTTGGGGTCAGGTGATGCACAGGAGCAGGAGTTAATGCACACGGAGAGCACACACCTGACTGACCCACGTGGAATCAGTGTTCAGTAAGTGTGTCCTTGGCTGCCATTGTTAATATTGGTATTAGTTAAGGCAGTGGTCCTGTTTGGGCCCGGTGGGGCTGGGAAGATGGAAGAGGAGGGCTCCGTGTCCCTGTGTAGAAGAGAAATGCTGTGGATTCTGGAGGACAGAGGGGCCTGTGGGGAGGATGGAGGGTGTGCTGCCATGGCTGGGATGCGAACATACTTTGGAGGCTGAGGCCGATTCTGAGCCGTTTCTGTGACAGACTGAGAGAGAAGGCCTCTGGCTTCCAAGCCTCTCATCCTTTAGCCCTTGCCTGTCGTTCCAGCAGGAACATCAGTCTCTCAGGAGCTGCCCCCGCTGCCCTGCTGCCCCTTGCCTACCCTGGCCCTGGGCTGTGTGCTGTGTGCAGGGAGCAGCCCAGGGTGAGTGTGAAGGCTGGAGGGAGAGTAGAGGCCTCCCCCACCCCCACCTTAGGCCAAGGCCTCAGGCTGGGGGCGGGCATTGCTGTTGCCGGACTAAAACACCTAACACCCCCAACTTAAAGGAGTTGAGGTTTCTTTGGCTCCTAGTTTCAGTGGTTCTATCCCTGGCCAGCTGCTCAGTCTAGATGTCTAGATGTCCCTCCCAAAACCTAGTGTGATGTTAGGTGGGCTTTTTCAGAGGTGGCTGGATCTTGAGGGTGTGACTGATGGGCAGCAGTGGTGGCTGGATCTCTGTGCAGATGTGGCTCCTTGTGTGGAAGTGCATTGGTTGTGATGCTGGAACTTCCCAGACCTGTTGAGGAGCCACCATGTAAGGGAGAGCTGGGGATTCTGCTTTTACTGCCTTGGAGACCTCCCCACCCAACCTGTTGTTGCAGTTCTGGAGTTCAGTTGTTGGGATGATCTCAGGTAAAGAAATATTTCTATGGTCCTGCTTGAAGGGGCTTGGGGAGGAGGCAGGAGATTTTTGTCCCCCTAGTTGGCAGGATGAGGAATGCCAAACTAGAACAGCCCTGCGGCAAGGGTCCAGGCTGCCATGCAGCCTGAGTGCAAGCTTGAAGGGCACATGCAAGGCATGGGTGAGTGACGTGGGCAGGGCCAGTGGGAACAGCCAGGTGCCCATGCTCCCTGTGCCCTGAGAGCTGAGTGTTGCAGGTGGAGGAGTGGGCACAGTGTGGGCAGTGACATTAAGGTATTCTTCAGGCTCCAAGCAGTCAAGAGGGTGCCTCAGACTAGAGGAGCTGCTGGCTGGTCCCTGCTGAGACAGCTCTTCAGAAATGATAGTGCCCGTGACCTGAAAAGAATACGCCAATATGTAATTTAAAATGTGATTTTTAACTCAGGCTCACAAACTTTTTTGTTGGTTTCAATATATCAGTTTATTGACTGTTTGCTCTAAAGTGTTGCTTTTTTATGATTGCAAAAATGACTCCTGCTCACCACACAAACTGAAATGCTACAGTTGATGTAAAACATGAGGGTGTTGGAGTCAGAGTTTGCAAGTGAACAGATTTAATACATCAGCTAATTTACAGGGTTGTTTTATAATAGTCACCCAAAAAGTCAAATGCAGAGAGTGCAAGAGGTCTATCCATGCACCACAGACCCAAAGAATCTAGCTGAGGGCCTGGATTCCACAGCAATGTCCTGTACAAGTCCAGCCAGAGGCCTAGAGCCCGCGGCAATGTCTCATGCAAGTCTATATCGAGAATCTGCACTGGGAAGGCCCAAAGTTCAGTGTGAAAGCTAGAAAGTCTGTGCCGGTGGAATAAAGGCATCAATGCCAGCAGGCTGAGGGATCTGTGCTGGAGGCAGGAAGTGAAGCTCAAAGTAAGGACCAGAGCTCCCTTGATAAGAACCACAGCCATCCTCAGGGACAGCGAGGACCCAAGATCCTCTGACGGTTAGAACTGCTGAGTTTGCTTCAGGAAAACTAGGGTGAGGAACTCCTCCAGGATAACCAGCAGCACCCAGCAGCTCCCCTTTTATGCTATTGGCAGCAATCCTCAGGTGGGCCACTCACACCCACCATGCTGACTCCGTGTTGCAAGCTGACTAATCCATCACAGAAGGAAAGTCTACCGCAAACTCCTCCTCCAGAAATATATCCTCTGGACCTTGAGTGATTACATTACCTTCAATTCTAATTTACTTATTTTTGTAATAGGACATGCGTGTTGTTCTGCATTTCCTGTTCTTTCCACATTGCCCATCTGGGCCCCAGCTACTTGCACTATGGTCCCCAGGGCCACTACCAAAGCCCATGTGGATTTGGTGACAAACCTTCAGGCCCCTATCCAAACTAATTTGTTTCTTGGCCACCTCCCTGATGGCCGTGTGCACATGAGATTCTGAACCCTTCATTCTTTTCAGTGATGTAATTTATGTGACCGATCCACGTATGGTGAATATTTGATTCCTTCCTTCCTATTAAAAACATATTTTTTGCACTATTAAGAATGCTAAGCCTGGTATGGTGGCTTACCTGCAATCTCAGCACTCTGGAAGCTTGAAACAGGATCATGAGTTTGAGCCCAGCCTAGGTAACTTAGTGACTAAACTGTCTCAAAATAAAAAAATAGGGGGCTAGGGATTTAGCTTAGTGGCATAAGTGCCTGCCTTGCAAGTGCGTGGTCATGAGTTCGATCCTTGGTACTGGTAATAAATAAATAAATAAATAAATAAAACAGTGGCTAGGGATGTAGCTCAATATGAAGGCCATAGGTTTGCCCCCAGTATTCAAGGAAAAAAAAGCTGTAGGAAATAAGCATGTGTATGTATCCACAGTTGTGCAAATGTCTCAGCAGGATTTCATGTAGAAATTGCTTAGGAAAAGTGTATGGATTCTTTAGGCTCCAAGCAGTCAAGGGGGTGCATCAGACTGGAGGAGCTGCTGGCTGGTCCCTGCTGAGACAGCTCTCTTCAAGTCTTTTAGAGCTTGATGGGACAGCCGAGTGTGGTGGTGCATGCCCAACACTCAGGAGGCTGAGGCAGGAGGATTGTTGCACGTTCGAGATCAGCCTGGGCTATACAAAGTGAGCTCAAGACTAGCCTGAACTTCATAATGAGACCCCATCTCAAACACACACACACACACGCACACGCATATATACATACATACACACACACACACACACACACACACACACACACACACACACACAAACTTGACAGGTAAAGCCATATTTCCAACCACAAAACTGCCGGTCTGCACACCCAGAGAGAAGGTGCGCCTTCCCTCTTCCCCGCCCTGAGAAAGTCTCTAGCCTTTTCATCTCTTCCCACCTGCTCCAACCACTCCCCTCACCTAGCCTGCTGGAAGAATGAGTGTCCTTCAGCCTCTCCAGGTGGGCACCTCCACCATCGTGGCCTCCAGGACTTTTGGATGGCTGCCTACAATCCACTGGCTGCCACACTCTTTCCTGTCACTCCCAGCTTCATATCTTTAGTGGCTACCTCTGTGTCACCTATGGAAGCACAAAGCTCCAGCTGAGATGCAGGGCCCATTGTGTTCAGCCCTAAGCCTGTGAGTGACGGGACAAGTGTTCTGTGGCCTTACAACCTCTTCATGTCCCCTGGCCACCTTTCCCCATTTGCAATATGTGGTGGTATCTGGCATCCCTGGGCGGTGGGGCCTCCGACTGGATGACCACTTGAGAGACTTCTGTGGACTCTGGCCCAGCTGGGGTCTCCACTAGTCTCTCTCTCCCATGCTGGACTTGGAGGAGAGCACAGCTCAGATTTGGTCTCATCATTCAACTTCCCACAGCCTTTGACATTTCTACCCCAAGCTCCGTCACTCCCAGCAAACAGTGGGCACTCAGACATTGCTGGGGGAGGGCAGGAAGGAAGGAGGCAAGGAAGAAAGAAGCCAGGAAGGGAAGAAATAGAAATAAGGAGACAGAAAGATAGATATAAAGGAAGAAAAGAAAGAAAGAAGGAACAAAGGAAGGAAAGGGAGGAACAACCTTCCCTGAGCAGCCAGGTGGCTCCTTCTGGGTGGGGAGGACTCTTGGAGGATCTGCCCCTACCTTTCCTCTTAGAATATTAACTACCCCAGGGATATCTCAGCCAGGAGCTGGGTTCAGTTTTCCCTCCATGGAGCCTGCAGCAGTGGTCGAGTGAGCCATGGAGAAGGACCCTTCAGGGAAGAGGCCTCTGGGGACACTTGGGTGACTTGGCTGAGTGATCAGCGGGGACCGAGGCCATGGTCTATCAGGAGACAGTAGCGGTGGCTCATCTCCCACAGCTCCGTCCTGTCCCTCGGATGAATAAGGAGCTGGCCCTGGACTGGTGGCCTGCACTGACATCCCTTGTGCAGGAAAGAAAAGAGAGAAGGGCCCCCCGTCATGTGTTGTGACTTCCAGTATTTTTAGTTTACAAGCCAACTCTTTATCACATTAGAACACTATCTATAAATAAATTTGAAAGCAGTAATACATCTGGGCCTTGGAGGCTCAAGTTGAGGCAATGATCTGTACATATATTTGCCTCTGTCATTGATCCCTTTATTATTAACACTGCGGCTTTCACTATGCTCATCAATCTCGCCCCTGATTACCAAAGTCCTCCCAAAACCTCTGTTCCCCACATACAGCCGGTTTCTTGCACAAAGTCGGGCTCATTTCTGGCTTTGTGTGGGATCCTTCCATTCTTCCTATACATTTTTCTCCATTTCCTGTGTAGTTTCCTATTCTGTAGAGGTTTTCTATTTGCTGTAAATATTACCCAGATGCCCTTGAATTATGGGGAACAAGATTTGGACACATGTACGCGTTACCTTCTCAGTAAAAGTTACACCTACGTGGTTAGTTATAAAAGACTTCTCACTACTTGTAATTACTTTTTTTAGTTCAAATTTTTTTCTTGAAGCTGGGTGTATTTTAACCAGTTATTAAAAATAGAGTAATAGGCAGATGAACATATAAGAAAACCTAGAACATCCAAAACAGTTTCAATAAATCAGAATGTATTCTTACATGCATTGGCCATGCTGGAAGATAATGCTTGTTTTTTAGTTTTAGGTTTAAAACTAGAGGGCT